CTGATTTAGACACCCGAGACGCTGCATGAGAGGATGTCAGAAGCTAAAGGTGGCAGGAAGACAAGCAGAAAGGACAACAGCTTGGAGTCCACGTCCAGTCAGAGCTGAAAGGCTTTCTGTGGCCCATTTAGGAAATATGTTTTGTATAGAGTACATATATAGTTTGATACATGACCCTTCTTGAGGCTTGTGGTGGAAATTCAGATGATTCTGATCGGATGTGGATCAAGCAGATTATTTTCCTTTTTTAGCTTTTCTCTTGTAGATTTTTGTTTGTTCTTGTTATTATTTGGCATAAAATATGACTGGAATATTTTGATATATACACGATTCATGGTTGCTCAGGTTCTCCGGGTGCAAAACAAACCCAACCAGCCCCTACCATGACACCTGAGAGCTGATATGAGGTTCTTACATGCTCTGCATTCAGGTTGTTATGAATCTCATGGTTGATGTTAGTCTTTTTTCAGGGTTTGTACGGGTCCTTAAAATCCTTGAAAATGCTTGAATTTCAATTGGAATTTCAAGGTATCAATAAATATATTTCTTTAGAAAAGAAAGTAAAAAAAACAAACTAATTTTTGGTAAAGCAGTTCTAAAATGTGACAGTCAAACACAAAAAGACTGACGTACACGAGATTTAGCTGTTTTTTATATACATATGGTATTGATTTAAACTCTAAAACATTTTTAGGACATTTTGTTCTAACATTGTTTTAGATCTTTAAATACCTGATAAAATTCTTCACTTTGTTATAGTTGTGAAACTTAATGGTAACTGAAATGACACTCCATAATTTAACACGTTTTGGGTTAAAAAGTGGAATTTTGGAAAAATTAAATTGGAATTTGGGAAATAATAATAATAAAAAAAGAATTAACAATGATCTAAACACTTTTGTCTCATACTCCTACTTGCTGTAGATTAGCGAACTAATAAAACTTGAAACTCTTGAGATATTAGTTTGGCTTTCGCCACCACCTTGTAAAGTAAATCTTCAGTAAACAAGCCTGCTCTCCTCTGACACTGTACCTCTCCTCTTTCCTCAAATAGAAAGCCTCCATATGTTTGGTTGTCTACCTCCTCCTCTGTCCTCCTGTGGATCTCCCTGTGCATCCACCCACACTAACCCAACATGCACTCTGCTCCAGGCTGCCGCTCCTCTCCACAAACACAGAGCAGCTCTTCTCCTTTACTGTCCGGCTGCAATGTGATTCACACAGAGCAAAACAGGGAAAATATACATATTTAAAAAGAGCACAGGTATTAGGGTAAAAGGAATCTGCACTGTCCACACTTTCTTTCTTTCTTTCTGCAGATATGACAACCGTCTGCTTGAAGGTGATATTTTTAGAGTTGTGTACTTCTGTGTTTTTAGGCTGAGATGATGCATGTAGTGCAAACCCAGAATGTGATGGATTAACACAAACACTAAAAGGCAGACAGGAAAATATCCCCATTGAATGACAGGAATAAATGGTATAATAACATTAAAACAAGATGATGCTGGACTTAAATGTCTCTTATAAAGAAAGCACACACTAATTTTAAAAAATCCTTCTGGCCTTTCCATCGTTTCCCCCAGAAAACCTGCTAAGCCTGATGGTAGAGGCGCTAAGGCAGACATCCAGCGACCTCCTGTGTTTTTATGTTGAGAAATGTTGACATTTTCAACTTAATGTCTTTTATTGGAAGACATTATTAAAAATACATAAATACCAACTATAAAGTCTTAAGAAGTGCAAAAATACATTTAAAATATGAATTATTTCCATCACTTCATCTGTTCCATCCTAAATAAAAAGTCCAAAATCTTCTGATTCTTTACCCATGACTTGTAACTTTATTAGCTGAAGTTGTTAGCATGGAGACCAGTAGAGACAGGAAGTGATTACGGATTTCCTGTGAATAATAATAAAAAAAGAAAACACCAGATTTCAATCTCCCTCTGTGTTCACATATTAACCATACAATGTTGCCAACCATTTCACCAAAGAGACTCTTTAACCCGTCTTTTCTATCACTTTTACTGCTGCATAAAAAATCAAACAATGCTTAGCCTGGTGGGGTGCAAGTAAAGCCTGGTGGCCTGCCAGGCTTATAAACCTTGGAGAAAACTTTGACCTTTCACGTATCAGACTCTTAAACCTTAATATTATAATCTGATCTGTAAAAACACGGTGCAGGGGTGGATTTAGAAAAATAAGGGCCCATGGGCTGGATCTGGTTTGGTGCCCTATCCTAGAAAAAATACAACTTTTACTCAGACAAATTACAGCGTATGTAATTTGTCAGAGTATGTATGTAATAAGTATGAATGTAATAAGTATGCTTAGACATTTGCAGAGCACAAATTGTTGGATTGTTGGCTTGTAATGTCTGGCAGGTGGGACCATTTTGGTCCCAAAGAGATAATTTTCAAATATTTGAGTGTAGTTCAAGTTAAGACGCGTTAAACCCTTTGTAAAGTCTGATTCGGAGTATGCTCAATGGTCAGTTACTTATTTAAACAACCCAACACGGTGAGTATAAATGTTGTTGTAGTTTTCAGTTTAATAGAATACTGCAAATGATAAATGTTATCAACATAATAATTAGCAAGAATGCAGTTAGCAAATCCTTTTGTTTTCCTGACTTACCTCGACACACCGTTTAGTAGGATGTGGCGTCATTTTTTCTTCCCAGAGCTTCTCAGGCACTTAAACATGAACAAAGCTTTGCTCAGGAAAATCATGAAAATCATGATTACTGTTTTTAGAGGCTAGTGTAACTATGCTAACATTAGCACGTGCATGCTAATTTGGCTCAAATCAGAGACGTTCAGATTACAATAGCAACAAAAAGAAAGGCTTCTGTGTGATGGGACTTTTGTATTAGCTGTTAGCTTCCTTTCATTATTTTGTGTATTTTTGATGATCTTATTTTCTCTTTTTTTTTTAATTTCTTTAATTTTTCCAGACTGCTTCCCTTTTACCCATCGTTTTTTCCTCTTTATCATCTTTTTCTCAGTTTTTTCATCTACTTCATGTTTTCTAAGCATTCTGAGATTCTCATGACATTTTTTTAATTTTAACTTGGGAAAATTGTTTCCATTTTCTTCGACCTTATCCTTCGTTTGTCCATCATGTTTTTGCTACCTTTCTTTTTGCAATTATTTTTAAGGTTTCTTTATTCATTTCTATCTTTCTTGTTTTGTTTTTGAAGGTAGTGTTAATGATTTCCTTGTTTTTCACCTTTTTCTTTTTTGATTTTTTGTAGCAACCTCCTTCTTCCATCTTTAACTTCATATTTTCTGCTTATTATTCATACCATTTCTTTTCTTTCCAACATAAAACCCTGAGTTTTGCATAATAACTCCTGTTTGCAGTTTTCTCTGACCTTTTAACCCTGCTTTTCCAAGTGACGTTAATGTCCAGCAGGATCAACATGTTCGGACTCTCTGAGCTGCTTCACATGCCGGATTATTTTAGCCTCGTCACATCAACATGTGCTGCTGTGGCTGTTGTTGTTGCTCACCGTTTGTTCTGCACTTTGACTTTGCCCACGTTGATCCCGTCTAATCACATCATAAAAAGCAGGAGCTCGTAGTTGGGTGTCATAGAGGAAACGTTTAGCGTCATTGTTTTTAACTGTTTAAGCTGTTTTGGTTAAAAGTAATTTCACCATGTGGTTTGTAATGTGGTTTTTAGTAATGGACCTTCAGCTGAAAAAGCTCCCAGTAGTTGTTGTTTTGGTTCACTCTTTACTCAGTTTGCACAAATTAGCTTCTGGACAGCTCTCTTGACTGAGGTCAGGACTTTGAGTAGGCCACTGATTCGTGTCCTTTTCAGCTATTGTGTCGTAGTTTGTTGCTGGTTTTGGGATAATTGTCCTGTTATTGACCCAGTTTGGACCAAACTACACATTTTCCTCTGTAGACACTGAGATCTTGGTTTTCTTCTTGGCATATTGGTGACTTTTAAATTATTCTTTTTCTGAATATGTTTTCTCACTATATTGTGATGAACGTCATATGCAGATTTCTTTGGTAGACGGCAGAATTTATGAAATAATCAACACAAGCGATAACAAATGTAATTTAGTCATTACAATAAATGATGATGTTGTTTTAAGACAATTTTCAAGTAATATAATGGTACATTCTCAAAGATCAATAAACTTTAAATACTAATAAACATTTAAGATTGGAAGACATTAAATTTCCAAAATAAATAAACAAAACAACAGAAACAGCAAACAAAATGAATTATGAAGTCTCTGTAATCAAGCTGAGACCAAAGCATCAGACTGAAGACTTTTGTCATCCAGGTTTTGGTGGAAAGAGAAAAACAATAAATAGCACAAATGGACATCGCTGGAAATCATGGTCATGATTTGTTGTGTTTTTGGAGAGATTTTAGATTAATTTGTGATGCTAGTCTGGTTTTATCACTCTACAGATCTGGCATTCATTGTATTAACTCTGATTCTCTTTGTGTGGCATTAAATTTAGAGGTAACGAAAGAAATTGGTTCTTTATAAATCATATATAAAAAGAATATAAATCATTCTTTTATATTTTTTATTTAAGAAAAAGCCAGACAGCTGAGCTAACCTAACACTAGTAGAACTTTATGCACAAACCTATTTTTGTTTTTAGATTTGACAGAACTGAACCGTGTAAAATTGTTTTAAATAAATGGTCTATTTGTTTCCACTGTCTCTTCCTCTTGTTAGTCTAATTTAAACAAAAAATTTAGAGCATTGTTAAAAAAAATTTCTGACCCTTAAAAAAATGTTGGATGAAATATTTAAATAAAAAAATATAAAAAACTAATTGGAAAATGACCTTTCGTGGAAAGACCTCAGGTCATTGCTGAGGTCTTTCCACCTTGCGGTTGTGTTAGCACACCTGGATTCTCCAAAGGTGAAAGGAATAAGAAAGTCCTCAGACTGATGAATTGATCTACAAGACCTGGTGCAAATTAAAGTGAAATCCCACCCAAAAATCAGGCAAACGTTGAATTTACTGTTTATTTTCCAGGGTTTATTGAAGATGCTGTTATATGATGAGATCAGAATGGACAGAAACTGCTGACTAACCTTGCATAGGTTACAGACTCTGCCTCAGCGGCCAATGAGAAGCTCTGCAGACGGAAACAGCAGCCAATCAGAAAGAAAACAAACAGAAACATCCGACAGATTCGGAGAAAACGAATACAGTTCTTCACCGTTTTTTTTTTTTTTTAAACAAAAACTGACCGTACTGAGACGTTCGTTCTGGACGACACTTTGGCTTCTGACAGGAAACAGAAAGTCTGACCAGCTGCAGCCGTCCATGCATGTTGGGATTTTTAAATCATGTCTACATCCACCTGAAACTCTGCAAACGTCTCACCATCATCACCTGAACCGTAAACCTTATTTATCAGTAGCTCAGCGTTAGCAAGCTGTAAAAAACTGGAATAAAATAAATGAATGTCAAATACATTCAAAATAAATAGACATAAAAAATAGTTAAACACGATTTTTCACAGAGTTGAAAAAAAAAAAATCCGTCTGAGGCTAAACATTTAAACTGAAATGATAAAAATGCGTCATTTTGGAAGGATTCAGTAAAAAAAGTCTGAATCCTCAAACTGCCTAAACTCTTAAACAAAAAACATCTGAGATTAATTTCTGCTTGTTTGACCTGAAATTAATTTTATAATTGCATTTTCATCCATTATTTTGTTTTCAATTTTGCTTTTAAAGCTTGAAATATAAATATTAGCAGAAAATCTTCTGTATTTTTGCTTAAGAAGTTTCATTAGTTTAATGACGTAAAGCAACTTAAATTTGCAGCAAATCCTGATTTTTTTTTTCATTTAATGACTGATTTATTGAACATTGCATGGAATATGTAACGAAGAGACACACTTCAGAGCTGATTTAAGTTCATTGCTGAAACCAAGCAACTTTTCAGGCCATTCTGATGCCTCAGAGCAGCAACAAATCAGATTATGCTTATCGATAAATCCAGGTTGGAAAACATCGGCAGCTGCAGGAAGTTTCCGTCAGAAACTAATTTAACGGCTTGTTATCTACTGGAAATCAATCCGGTTCTGGCAGTTGGAAGCTTGTAATTGAATCATGTTTACTCGAGAGATAAAAACTGGATTTTATTTTGGAAATGACACAGTTCTGTCCTGTTCACTGCAGATCAGACGGTAAAAACATTAAAAATGTGTGTATGAAACTCCTACAAAACACCATTTGGTCCCTTTAGTGGCGTCTGCTGCAGAAAACTCCAACTTTGGCCTCCAAATAGAAACACAAACCAATTAAAAAAAACACAGAATAGTCTTAACAATGCTTTTAATCAATCTTAAATAAACTAATATTGATATGATTCAACCTTAAAAAATAAGTAAAATATTAAAATTTTTCTCTCAGTCCTTCGGCATGTTTACCGCTTAGCACCTTCATAACTTTTATTTATTTTGTCCAGACTAATTAAAGGGATTTCAAAGCGCCGGTTAAGAAACTTGACGATGACACATAGCTGCAGCAGCGTTAGGCTTGGATAACTTTATGACATATATTTAAAGGGTTTTCTTTTTATTAAAATATTTGAATTTTAAAAGGATTTTTAATCTAGAAATTTCACCCCTCATATTCTCTCAACCTTTGGTCGGATTTGAGCTTTCATGCACCACATTTTTTCCTTCCACTAAACCTTAAATTAATATTCCTGGACAAAGCAGCATCACTGACACACCCTGTGGAGACTTTTCATGACTATCGGGTGAACAACTGAAGCCATAGCATTTCATTTCTGTCAGAAAAATAACTTTTTTGATCATTTTTTGCAATAATCAAATTTTCTGAATAACCTAATTATGGTTTTCCGTAATCTATTAACCATAATCAACCCCCCCAAAAATGCCAGTGTCAAAAATTAGTTTGGTTTTGAATTCTTTTATAAAAATAAATTTCATTTTAGTGACTTTCTAAAGTGTTGAAATGTCTACAACGGCCACCAGAGGGCAGTAATCGGAGGTATTGGATCTATTAACAGGCCAATAGGTGTACAGATGTCTGTGAGGCATATATGCCTCCGTATCATCTGGTTGCATTTTGAGAAGAAAATGATCCGACCCGACTTGATGCAAAGCCACAATACGACCCCAATCATGCCGAATCAAACGTTCGTCTGATAACACCGCATCTCCAGACGATCATGCAACTCAGAAACGTCGGTGAAGCCTTGAAGCTTTATGCTGGAATAGAACGGGAAATACAAGACAAATTACGGTCTTTCTTCCCAATTGTTCATGTAAAAATCAATCTGGGATGTCATTCTTACACATTTTATGTAAATTACCTTCTTAAGTAATCGTATTTTTAAATAAATGGACTAAAAACAAGATTGAAGAGTGATAGTTTCCCCCGCTGATGGTTTTTTCTACTAAACAATAGATTCTTGTGCTATGATTAAGTGAAAAATAGCCCAGTTTTGCCATTTCACAACATTTTTGCAACATTTTTAAAATAGATAAAGTTTTCGGTTTCTTTCACCTTACAGCAATACTCCAGTGCAAATAGATTCATGTTATAACCAAAACCTTCAATGTATTTTGTTGGGATTTAATGCGATATAAATCAACATGTATAATAAAGACAGGATAGTATGTGCACTATTATGAGGCAAGGGAGTTTTTTGATCATATTAACATTTTTAGGCATGTTTTCTAACTCTAAGCTGGATGAATCGTAACAGGTAGTGTTCTGTTTCGTGAAAATGGGTAAAAAAAGATATTTAACTCTGAAAACCAAAAGTCTCTCACAAGGATGCTCTTGAAATTGCAAAGATATTGCTGTGTGATCACAGAACCATCAGACGTTTTGTTGCAAATAGTCAACAATGTCGCCAAAAACATGTTGAGATTAAAAGACGCAGATTAACTGTTAAGGATTTGAGAACAATCAAGCGAGAAGCTACCAGGAAGCCATTATCTTCCGGTTCTTCCAGAACTGCAACCTCGCTGAAGTACGAGATGTTCAATGCTGGTATAGATGGCCAAGGTAAGGAAGACTGAAACCCAACCACCACTGAACCAGGTGCATCAGCTGAAGCATCTAAACTGGGCCAAGAAGTATCTGAAGACATTTTGAAAAGCTTTTCAGAAACGGGCAAAGAGCTTCAACTCCAGTCAGCAAGTTGGAGGTAAGTTACTGGTATGAGCTGGTATTACTAAAGATCAACTGATTGGACCTTTTCTGATTGAAGATGGGCTCCAAATCAACTCCAGAGCCTTCTCCCAGTTTGTAGAAGACATTTTCTTCAGGCAGTGATAGAGGAAGAAGTCTGAATCTTTCAAAGAGAAAATGATATTTATGCTACCCAATAAAGGCATCAAAGATGGAAACCTTATGAGATGGACACAACTGAGAACTTGTGGGTAGTTCTTAAATGGGAGAATTACAGAGAAATCCAATACCTCAAGCTTTGGACATTTCCCAAAGCTCTGGACCGACTGCAGACCTACCAAGTCATGAACATCCATCTAAAGGAGAGCATTAATCAGAGAAGCAACCAAGAAGTTCAAGGTGCTGAGGTCAGACGAGACAGAAACTAAGCCTTGTGGCCAACACACCACCCCCATGTGAAAACATGGTTAATTCCTCACAAGCCATCTTTGTCAGAGCAAAGACTGAAGAGTTAGAATGGCCTAGTCAAAGTCCAGATTTAATTCCAGTTTAAAATCTGTAGGAAAACTTCAGAATCAATGTTCACTAACACTAAGCGTGAGTTATTTTACAGAAAGTTGTATAAAATTCCAGTCTGTAGATGTTCAGACACCTGCAAGTTCAGTGGAACGTGTTTCTAAAAAGTGCCAATTTTTTATTGTAAAAACAATAAGAAAACATGCAAAATCCCATTAAAATACATTGAAAAATGTGCAAAAGTTCATGCATGTTTCATGACATTTACTGAAGCATTTGCTTGTCTAAACACCAGGTGGCGCTTTAGCAAATCTCCTGGTTCCACCTTGTAAGTTTGGGTCTAAAAACTGAGTCTTCAGAACATAACATCTCATTTGGAGCTGCTGCATCAGTTGATTGTTTCTGTCCTGCAGAAAAACCCGCCGCTCCCCCGGCTCTGTTCCCCCGTCCTGAAACAGCAGCAGCAGCAGCAGCAGCGCCATTTTACTGACAAGCAGAATGACTAATGCTGCTCTGCAGAGGAAACACTGAGTGCCTCTGCAGATCCATCAGCCCTCCCTGAACTGAAACGTCCCACAGCTCCAAGGCACACGAAGCAGAATCGTCTCCCTGCTCCATCCTCTTCACTGAAAACATCAGAGCGAGAAAGCGAAGGGGCCTGATGAGGGACGGATAGCCAAAATAAAACAGGCTCGCTTTCATTTCTCTCTGGTTTTAGTCTGGAAAGAATCTATTTTTGGTCCTGCTGAAAGTGGCCATATTTGCGCTCTCATTATTTGGCTCAATTTAGAAGCAAAAACTAAACCTCACCACATTATATATATATGAAAATAATTGAGTAGATTCCTAATAAAACCAGGCTTAAAAGTTCACCCCATATCATTTAGATAACCGACTTGTTCTGAAGTATAATTCTGGTATTTTCTCCCCAATTTGATCCGATTCTCCTGACTTATCTCTAAATGGGTCACTTGCCTCAGTAACCAATAAATCAGCAGATAAATTGTCTACAACAGTTCATCCAGAGGGGAAATTTGTGCATTACTTTGATTCAGGCTCAACGACGACACAAAGACGTCGGAACAGGCGCTTAATGAGTTGGCTAATTAAATCTGTTGTTACATAGCCCACCCTAAACCCCCCGAGCAGCAGATTCAAGCGATGCCTGTTGGTGTTCAGTAATCTGGACTCTTACTGATCGTGTGGAAACTTTTACATGCTGTCCTGGAATAACAGCGTGGAAATAAGAGTTAAACCCAGATATTTCTATACACTGTATAGAAACATCTTTTTACTACCTGAGATTAAGTCAGACTAAACTAGTCCTGCTTTAGCTCAATTAGAATTACCAAGTTTTTTTTAAATTCAGACATATACATCAGGCATTTCTCAGTATTTGGTAAAATCATCTCTTAAGCTATCTGACTTGGGTCAAACGTTCCACAATCTTCCCACAGTAGTTTGCTGAAGTTCTGGCCCATTCCTCCTGACAGTACTGGTGTAACCAGATTGGACTCGCCTTTCCATATCTGCCCACATATTTTCTATGCAACTGAGATTATGGATTTATATTGGAAGCTCCAAAACATTAACTTTATTGACCTGAAGCCACGTTGTACTAATCTGGTGGTAGGCTTATCTTATTTTCACACCTGATAGTCTGGTAGTTTTGGTTCGATTTGGGACCAAAATGGCAACATCTGTTGCATTTTCAGTTGCTACGGTTCACTTTCACACTGCATGGTGCCAAACAGTCCAAACCCTTTAAAAAAAAACTATTGAAGCAAGCGGTACAAAAACCTCAGCTTCCTTCATGAAATGTAAACAAAAATGGAGTGGCATCAGATTTTAGTGATTGTAAGGTTTCTGTTTTGTCTTTGGTAAAAGACAACAAGTCATTTCTCCCGCTAACTCTACACACACGCAATTGTTTTGGTTGTATTTACCCAGAAAGTCCTGCATTATAGTTTGCTTCCGTCTCTTGGAGCATTCACAACACTCCAGAGGTCGCTGTTTTGGTCCGCATCAGAATTCAACAAACTGGACTTTCTAGACAAACGAAGTAGAGTTCGATTACAGCCAACTAAACAGGGTTGGCATGTCATTGTCCATTTTGGAAGACCAGATAAAGTAATGCCATGTATCTTGCAAGGTGCACCAGTCCTTCTTGAAGCAAAATACCTGCATAACACAATGGATCCACTACCATAGTTAGTAGTTGGGTGGTATTTTTGGGCTTGTAGGCTTTTTCCTTCTTTCTTCTTCCTCCACTTTGGACGATGGACTGAAATTTTAGTTCCATCAAATCCAGGGACGTCTCTAAAAAATTGCATTTGCAAACTGCAATGACTTCCTCCTTACTAAGTGACTTTTCAGTCACTTAGTAAAGAACTTGCGTCACTGTTTATAATGATGCAGAACCCGTCTCCTTCCAGAACTACAAGACACCTGGACGTCCTCATAGTGGCAGTTGTTTGAACAAACCAATGAAGAACTTTCAAATTCACTATTTACTTGTTGACTTTTTGGCTGGTTGTTTGTCATCTTTCTATGATGACATGCAAAAAACCAACATGTTTGAAGAGTGACCTTAAAATATGTCCACATGCTAAAATCTTACAAAGTTCTGACATCATCATCTGGGCTTTTCCAAATACTTTAAAGACATCTTAGTGTATGTAAACATCTTAATTTAAATAAAATAAACCTAAGAGAAACTCTAATGTTGGTAATCCTTGATCTGAAACAGGTAGTTTAGCCTAAATGTTTCTGTTTATACAGTTCACATAAACGTGTTTCACCTGGATTTGACCAAATGAGGCTGTTTTTTTGTTGCTAACATTGCCAGCTAAATGCTGCAGCTTTGTGTCATCGACTAGGATAGGAAAGGGGTTTTATTTGGCCCGATAATATGGAGTAAACTGTCCCTTCAGTGGCAGATATGTGGGATCAGTGCATCTTTATAGCAGGAGAGGTTAAGCTGCACGACGTAAGCTCTTATAACAGGAGGCACTTTAGTCAATTCTATACGAGACGGGCTTCAAGGCACTGGAAACTGATTTTTAGATATATACTCTACGAGCTTTGTTCAATATTATACTCTTTTTCTTCTTCAAACAGAAAAATGGGCTCACAAATTAAACGTTTCCATGCACTCAGTCGTCAAAGCTTTAAAAAAATACAAAAAGGAGGAAAAAACTTCAAAGTAATTGTTTTTTAAGATTTCTTCTGTTTTAAGCACATTAGTTCCTTCTAACGGTTTCCTCCGTCATGCATTTTTCCACAGTTAACTTAGCGGGAATCGTCGTCTCCCCTCCGTTTTCCCGCGCTCAATCCGAAAACTGCAAGCAATTTAATACTGACGTCATGCATTGAGTATACGTAGCTATATCATAGCTGTTTAGGCCATAATGCTGAAGTATTTTGACATGCCGTGATCTCCGAAGAAAGAAATGTTGCTGTTCTCCTTAAACATTCAAGACGGAAATGCTCTGAAACGACTTTGACGATAAACAGCCAGAGCACTTCTGGTGAAAACAAAACATAATCCAGGAGAAGAGGATGAGGGCTGAAGAAGACAACAACAAAAAGAAAAAAAAAAATGAGGTAACGTTGTGTGCATGCTGATATAAAAGAGAAGAGTCTCCACATGCGTTTATATAAAGGAGTGTTGCATGGCATCAAACAGGGAACCTTCAGCTGACCTGCAGCAGCATCGTTGCAGATCGTCCCTCCACAAAGGCTCCACAAACTTCCTGTTTGCTTCTCTTAAAGTGCCTGAAAAATTCGCCATGTAATGTTTTTTCTCAATTTTTCCTGAATGTGCTGCAGAAAGCACAAACGTCTGTAACTGTAATCCAACCGTCGTGGAGAAAGTTGTTCTTGTGAATGTCAGATGGGCTTTCATCCACAAAGTTGAGTCTGTTGCACCAAACCAGGCAGCTGTCCCTTTTCACCAATAATGTTTCGTCCAGTTTTATTTTTTGTCCTCTAATTAAGTCCTCATCTTTCTTGTTTTATGTATTCAGTTTAAAACACTTATTATTAATAGTTAATATGAATTTCCTAAATGTTTTAACGTGTTTTAAGTCAATATAAAGTGCTTTAATAATCTGAATAAACCAGATTTTTTTCACAAATGTTTGATTTGTGTTACTCAGCTGTTAAGAGCTGGAGCATTTAAAATGTTATAAATTAATGCATACTAAAACAAAAGGAGATGGCAGTGAAATGTTGTAGTAAATAGGTTTAAAGTAATACTCCAATTATAGCAGATCTTTGCATGTTATTAATGAGGCACTCCATCAATTTAGTATTGAACGTTTAGGAATAAAAAGCAATTGATTAGTGAACACTGAGTCGACACAGATTGAAATACCCCTTTCCTAGTTAATGAGCATGTAATAAGAATACTACATTTCCCAGAGATCAACTTGGTTTTTAAAAACATGCATCTATTTGTAATGTTTCATTTTTACCATAAGATACATGTTTTAAACCATGGCAGAAAGGCTGTCAGGGTGTGGATTATAAGTAATTCTTGTAAAGTGGTGGCAGGATCATTAGCTTTTGTTCATAATTTTTTTATTTTGCATTTCTTAAACTCAAGATATATTTTTATATTTTTCTAAAACAGTTTCTAAGCTTTTCAGATGGGATTTTAACATTATTGGGGTCATTTCCACAACACAAAACCAGAACTTTTTGTACTTTCAACATGCTTCTGCACCAAAACTTGGTAGTTGGATGTCTGAGACTGGCAGTGTGAATACATTTGATATATTAAAGATCAAATATTAAGGAATAGGTAACATGTTTTTTTAGTTAATAAAACCAGGACCCATTTCATCCACAACTATGACCCCTATAATTTAACTCTGTAGGTCTCTGACCATGAATGGGAAACATTTAGGAAATTCACCAAATGTCAAACTCCTGGAGCTGGGTTGTAAAATCTTTGGCAGCTTGTCTGGGATACAAAATTAGGATTTCTAGCACCCCAAACATTCCTGCAGACAAAAAGAATTAAAGCTAGCTGTCAATAATTGGCAGTGTAACCTCCTTTGTTGTATAAAGTACATTTGGTGGTTTAAATAAAATAATTTAAGATGAATATTATTTGAAGTCTTGTCCAGGATTCAAATTCAGAACCCATTTAAACCTAGTTCTTGTCTCTGGACAAAATAGACTGAGGGAGTGAAATTCAAAATAAGACTTTGAGTACCTGACACATATCCTGAAGCTAGAGGTCCAATAAACAGTAGTTCAAGAGTCAGGTCATGACATTGTTCATGTTTGTTTGTAGGGGACAAAAATTGACCTGAAACATACCTCTGGTCCAAAATAATTGAGCTAACATGAGCAGGGTAACCTATTTTATTTTATGTTACACCACACACTTTAAAGTTCAACTAGAGGACATTATATTGGTATTTATCTCAAGTAGTATAATTAATCGAATATTGTCCGGTATACCTAACAAAAGTCTGTTGTATCTAAAGTTTGCCCTTGAACCGAACAGATTAAGCATCTTAAATTGATGGAGCAACCCCTATAGATTGTTAAATGTAGAAAATGCTGGGTTTTTCATATTTTTTTATTTTTTTACTCTAGAAGCCATGTAGATTGTTGGGGGCTTGTCCGGGATGAAAGACATACCTGCATCCTGTCTCTGGTCCAAAAGAATTGAATTTGATATGTAAAACTGGCAGTGAAACCTGCTAAATATTTTGGAATGGATACGAATATTGAACATAAATTTTTGCCAAGATCTGCTCAAGATTGCCTCACTATGTGTGTTTTAGTCTGTTTATACGTTTGAAAGAATAATGTTTAAAAAAGAGAATAAAATGCACCTACAGCGTTTAAAGCATCCAGATATTTCTACAATATTTACAGCAGTGTGCAGGCGCTGCCTCACACATCGGTGAGCAGCTTCCCCCTGTTCACACAGTTCTGGCTGGGGGCGGTGCAGTTGGCAGTCCTAAGGTTTGCTTCCCTAAAGTTATCAATGCTGTTGTTCAAGTCTTCATCTATCTCCATGTACTCTGACTTGCTGACCACAGAAGAAGTGCGGCGGCTTGAGTTGGTTTCTGATGCCAAGTTTTGGTTGCTGATGTTGAGTAGCTGTGCTTGCTCCTCACCTTCCGTCTCCCGGTGGTAGAAGTAGTTGAAATTGGACACGATGACAGGTACTGGCAGTGCGATGGTCAACACACCGGCGATGGCGCAAAGAGATCCAACAATTTTACCTCCGATGGTCACGGGGTACATGTCCCCATAGCCGACGGTCGTCATGGACACCACAGCCCACCAGAAGGCATCTGGGATGCTGGTGAAAAACGACTCCTTTTCCTCAGCTTCAGCAAAGTAAACGGCACTGGAAAATAAAATCACACCAATGAAGAGGAAGAAAATGAGCAACCCCAGCTCCCTCATGCTTGCCTTGAGAGTTTGCCCCAGAATCTGGAGCCCTTTGGAGTGTCGGGACAGTTTAAAGATCCGGAATACCCTCACCAGACGGATCACCCTGAGAATGGCTAAAGATGTGGCCTGCTCCCCACCTCCCCTCCCCTCCCTGTTGCCTTGGTCGTCAGCTAGCTCTGTGCCAAGAGTGATGAAGTATGGGATTATAGCCACAATATCAATAGTGTTCATCATGTTTTTGAAGAATGCTGCTTTGCTGGGGCAAGCAAAGAAACGAACGATCAGTTCAAATGAAAACCAGATGATGCAGAGTGTCTCCACCACAAAGAAAGGATCTGTGAGGACGCTTGCCTTGTAATACATGGTGGTGTTGCCTACTTGGTGAATGCGGTCATTGGGATCCTCCTTTAGCTCCGGTAAAGTCTCCAAACAAAATATGACGATTGAAATAAGAATTACCATCACTGAGACAATGGCAATCCCCCGGGCGGGCCCCGAACTCTCCGGATGCTCAAAGAGGAGCCAAATCTGCCGCTGGAACTCCTTCTCTGGCAAAGGTCGCTCCTCTTCCCGGATAAATCCCTCGTCCTCCCTAAATTTCTCCATAGCTTCTGCGCCAAGTTCATAAAACTTTATCTCCTCTGAGAACATGTCCAGCGGGACATTGACCGGCCTCCTCAGCCGACCTCCAGACTGGTAGTAATACAAGATGGCGTCGAAGCTGGGACGATTCCGATCGAAGAAATACTCGTTTCTTAAGGGGTCGAAGTAACGCATCCTCTTTTTGGGGTTCCCGAGCAGCGTGTCAGGAAACTGGGCGAGAGTCTTCAGTTGGGTCTCAAACCGCAGCCCAGAGATGTTGATGACCACCCGCTCACAGCAGTCGTGATCATTGTGATCGTCGTCAAGCGGGTAGGGATCCTGCGGGTGGCCCGGCAGGGTGGAGGTGTCGTCCATGTTTTCCGTGGACACCACAGTCATCCTTCCTGGGGGATGATGGGCAGGAAGGGGAAGCGGCGCGTAGGTGGTGGGGGCAGGTTGAAGTGGAGAGGCTCCTACAGATGCCAGGAGATGCGCAGAGCCTCCCTCCCTATCACCATCATCATCCTCATCATCGCCATCGTCTCTGAACTGAACGTTCCCTCAACGGTCCCTCGTCTCACACCTGGAACAGAGTGGAAAATAACACCCACTGTCCTCAGAAAAGACAATAAAACTCGTCTGGAGACATTTCTCAACGCGATCGTCTGTCCAGAAAGGACGCAGCACCTCTAAAAGCGTGTGCTGCATCTGCTGGGTTTTACCGCATACATCAGTATTCAAGTTTGCAGCCCTGCTGCACTGCCTCTCTCTGCACCCACAGTTCTCACTCATCCAACAGCTTCCCACTCAAACAAGCGTTTACGCATCCACACAACAAACAGAGCAATAAGATCTCCTCTGAGTGATGGACATCAGAGATGAGACGTACCTGAGTTTGGAGCGCAGCAGATGGAACTGATCGTCCTCTCCAGCCACCCACCTCAACTCTGGCTTTAATACCAGCAGATATCTCTTTACAGTGTCTCTGAAATATTAATAGACTATGTTGTCTTGGTCAACATCCGTATCCTCTTGGTGTTGGTTTTCAGCGCCAGTCAGTGCAGCCCGCAGGAGGAGGAAGAGGAAGAGGAGGAGGTTTTTGACGGCTCTGAACGCAACAGCAAAAATCCCGACTGACTATTTCTTAAAATCATACTGGAAAACAAGGAGGAGGAGGAGGGAGAGGAGGAATAATGAGCTGGACGGAGCTCACATTCTGACGGGGAGGACCGGACTTTGCTGCATCAAGAGAAAACCGCTTAAAAAAAATCTGGTGAGGAAGAGGAGGGAAAATGAAGCAGAGGATCCCGCTGCGGAGACCCGATACGTGTCCGTTAATTTGGAAGCATATTGCAGGATTTCATGAGAGGAAAGAGAAGTGAGTGAAGCAGGAAAGGAGGGAGGGAGAGAAAACAGGGAGAGGAGGGGTGGGAGGATTCGACGCAATGCAGACACACTGTACAGCACAGAGAGAGAGCTACAGTAGCGGCTGCGTGTCAGCAGAAACAGCCGCACGACTCCCGCCGGGGAAAGTTCTCCTGCCGGGAGCCGAAGGGACAGACTTCCCGGTGAGGAAAACACCGAGGGACGCTTTGTGCTCAACGTGATTCTCCTGCAGGTGTCAAACAGTCCAGATCTGACATGGAAAATCATCCCAATCAGAGCTGACCCACGAGTCTGTCAGAACCAGCACAAAAACAACATTTATATGGAAAAATGTTAATGAGACCCTGGTTCTGTGTTTTTAGAGTTAAATAATGGAGTCAGGTATAAAATCTGCTGCTGTGGTTCCAAACAGAGGCACTGATAGGAGGCTGTGATGCAGGAGGCCCAGCCCATTTCTCAGTCATTTATATATTAGAATATATAGAATAAAAAAAAATTTCAAAAAATTTAGAAAAACTGCGTGAAAACTAAAAAGATAAATGCAGTGACAGAGATTTTATACATGACAATATTTTTTTATATACATTGTCTTCTGTATTTTTGAAATACATTGCATGTGACTATATGAACAGTCAGTTGATGCTAACTACTTTTTTTAAATTCAAAACTTTAGTTAATATCAACATGTTGCATGTTCATTTAAACTGTAAATTAAATAATCAAAAATGACAAATACTTTATATGAGAATGTCAGATAATGCATCAAAGCAATTTTTGCCCGTTTGTGGGCTTAATAATAACTGAAATTATTTTTATAATTTTTTACACTTTTAAAGAGTGAAAATGCCCAAAATATAGGTAATATTTAATATGAATATTTATGTCAATTCAAAAAATATTAATATATAGTAATTTAATTTTAGAAAGGTAACATTTTTTTGTAAAGCGATAAGATTTTAAAACATCTTTTAAGGGTATATAATTTTGTAAACATGTAGAAATAATTTTTAAATGAAGTTTCTGCCTTGGTACACTTTCAGATATCCAGAAACTGGTTTGTATTTTCTGTTATAAGCTTTGAATGACAAACCTGCAGTCTGGAAATACTCTGAGCTGAAGTTAAACCTGTTGAGGCTTATTCTGGGAAGCCGCAGCCTTATCTCGTTTCTGCAAACCAGGAGACGAACTTTAAGTCCTTCTCTGCATGTTGGAGTTTTAACATGGATTAATAATTCAGTCGAATCGCAATAAATTAAACCTCTTGCATTTAACAGTTTAAAATTAGCATGAGAAAAGATGTAGTGGCACAGAAATCCCTGCACAGCTGAGACTATGCATATTTTTTGTTGATGTGATGCTCAGAGTCACTGTGGCGCTAAAAAACCCCAAACCCTTCTTCCATCCACACTATCCAGTATAATGCTGCCACCACCGTGTTTTACTGTTCCTTTGCTGATAGTGTATAAAGTTTGGTTACGAACTCGTCTCCCATACAATTTTTGTGTTATTTGAGCAAAGCGCGGATGTTTCCTTGAATAAAATGTTTGTCAGCTTTCTGTGGAAGTGAAAATTAAAAAACGTTTACACTGAGTGTAGCGAAATATCTGTCGAATCAACTGCCGGACTGATCGAGGGGAATGTTCAGCACGTCCTTGACCGGGCATGAAAGGTGACCGCTCTATATTTGGACTTCCAGCATTCGTCACTCTGAGTGTCCGACAGCTGGCCGAGCTTCTGCCACGCGGCTGCTCCCACAACATTCCTGAAAACTAAATTCACAGCGTTCCGGTGGGACAAAAGTAGAAGTATCTACGACTAATTTTCAAATTTATAGTTTGGATAAATAAATCTTTTGTCCACTATTCATTTGCAGAATTGTTGAATTCAACCATCTTGGAGGGTTTTCAGTATCAAATGATCTATTTAAAAACTTAAATCAGAATTATGTCCTGACTTTGACTAGGCTGCCTCCATTTTGTTTATTTTTTTGAATCATTCCTGCTGGATGATGCTGGATGTCCTCAGTGAGCTTGACTTTGAGGTCACAAACTGACAGCTTGACGGAGAATTCATAGATCCATCATTTAAAGCAAGCAACCCAACACCATCATACTACCATACTGTATTTGACTGTCATTATATTGTAATTCTGAAATGCAGTGTTGGTTTTAAGCCAGTTGTAGCAGGACAAACATGGAACAAGGTGCGTTCACACCAGAATTATTTAGTTCGCTTTAATAGAACTTCAGTTTTTGTCTAGAAAGTTCCATTCGTTTGAGGAGATCCGAATGCTAATCGAACAAAAAAGTGAACTCTGCTCCATCTCAGTGTGAGTTCAGTTAAAATTAACTCTGTTGTGGTCTGAATGCATATGTGAACACCAAGCGAACCGGAGACCGCTCCAACAGCTGGAAGCGGACTACAGCGCAGGGCATTCTGGGTAAATACAACCAAAACAAATGTGCTAGCCTCGCACTAGTGGGAGAAATGACCCGTGAACTTTTACCAAAGACAAAAGAGAAATCCTACAACGGCTAAAATCTGACACCATTTTTGTTTACATTTTGTAAAGAAGGAAGTTGCTCTCAGCGTTTTCAGAGGATTTTGTGTCTTTTTCTTGAGTGATTCTTAGTGCAGCTCCCCCACAGGTGAGGAGGGGAACAGGTTTTAAAAACGGTTTGGTTTGTTTGACTCAATGCAGTATGAAACCGAACCGCAGCAGCTGAAAAATGAAACAAATGTTTCTATTTCTGTCCCCAATCAAATCGACTCTACTGGGCTCTACCATCTGGGCCAGACTTTCAAAAGCGGCTACAAGGGCCCCGAGTGGCCCCAAAGATTTTTTATTTCTTATTTTTTTATGAATGCACATTTTACTAGCAAACTCATAGGAAACTCATAGACCCAAGACTATGAAGTCATAATACAGCCTTTAGCATGAAGCCATCTGCCAGACATTTGAATCCAACAATTCATTAATTCGTTTATTAACGTGTTGGTGTACCTGTTCATGTATTGTAATTTGCATGTGTAAAATATGGGACCAAATCCGGCTCCAGCCCGGGGGCCCACATCCTTCTAAATCCTGCCCTGCCTGCTATAATCGAGGCACATGCTTAGTTGTTTCTTTGCATCATTATTTTTTTGCTATTTTGCATTTTTTGTCTTCCTCCCAGCGTGTGCTTTTATCATAATTAGTGTTTTTGCTGAGCTCTCCTGGTTGTGAAGCTTTCGGTTGGAGGGGAGTCACAGCTGATGACGGTAGTTTCTAAACACTAGGGATCAGAGCAGCTGCACAGCACCTGCTCACACTCAGCTGTGAAGGGAAGCATGACGACATGTGAAAACTTGACAAGGTGGTGGAAGAGAACATCTGAGCGCCGCAGCCCAACAATGTGCTGAACACACATATTCACGCTCCGCACAGACACACACCATGACTTCATCTCCAGTCAGATGATCCGGTCGGGTCGCTGCTCTACAAAAGAGAGGCTTACACTGCTTTAACTGGCCAAGTGTTGGGTTACAGCTGCTGAAACTAAAGATGGACGCCTGAAATCCCTGAAAACAAAAGAAAACTTTACGGTTGAAAAGCATTGTCACGTGAAACCTGGAAGGTAGAGCCTTTCTAAAACATCCCTGTAGCTCAGAGAATAGACTTTAAAAGAACGCCTTTGGTGGCGCTGCATCAAGAACCGCTGAAGGAAACGACATGGAGAAGCAGAATTCAGCTGCAAGTTCTTCCAGAAAACTGAAAAACAGCTGAAACACTGATTTCCTTTAAATTAGAATTGCTTTTGAACCATAAAAATGAAACATCGACCAAAATATTCAAATGATTTTGGTGATGGCTCTCATCAAAATGTAAAGTTTGTTCAGTTGTTGACTTTATAACGTTGTAATTTTCAGTTTTTATTATGTAAAGCACCTTGAACCGCCTTGCTGCTGAAATATTCTATACAAATAAACTTGATTTATTGATTGACATAACTCAGCTAATATTCAATCTCCTCCATGCAGATTCTTCACCTGAGAGGAACTCATTGGTAGAAATGGGAGAAATTTACCAGTTTACATCCTTGTGGAGGATTTTCAACCAGCTCTGTTTTAATTCAGCTCAATCACAGGATTATTGAGTAACAACAACCTGCTTGAGGTCACGCCACACCATTTAAATTTGACTAGGACACAAGAAAAACTAGGCCTAGACAATATGGCTGAAAAACATATCGGTTGATATCAATAATTACATATCAGATAATACATTATTTAATGTTCTTGTTTACAGAAACTTCATAATGGATTTTATTTATTTTTGTTGTTTTGTTTATTCATTTTGGATATTTAAAATATCTTCCAGTTCCAGTCTTAAATGTTCCTTAGAATTTAAAGTTTATTGATTTTGCATTGATTTGCCATTAGCATTATGTTACTTAAAATGGTCTCAAATTAACCTTATTTTTGTTTATCACAATAACTTCTGGGACAGTTTAGTGTCCAGTAAGGTTTGTTATGGTGACAGGCCTTCATGTTGCTTTCTGTCTTCTTATTCTCCTGCTGCATTAATCATTAACGCTTAATTACATAATTGTTCCTGGATTAGATTCCAGTGTTCCCAGTGTTTCCAGTGTCATGTTTTAATGGTTTGGGCTGTTCTCCTTCAGATGAGCAGCAGAGGGGAGGAAGAGGAGGAGGAAGAGGGGCTGCTTCTGCTTCATGCAAACCGGCGAGGCATCCCCCGTGGCAACACGCAGCCCTGTCATCTCCTGCCTCGTGCCTGGATCACTGAATCAGGGGCAACACACTCATTAAGCCCTTTTTCCCCCTCTTCATCACCCTCCTCTTCCTCTCTGCTGCCATCGTCTCGTCCTCCTTACTCCGTCATCTCCTCGCTCGCAGCTCTGCTCAGGAAAACCCCAGGAGGCCGAGTGGGGAGGCGTGCAGAAGGTGATGGGAGAAAAATCAGATGGCGGTTTGTTAAATATTAATCTGATGAAGATGCAGAAGGAGAACAAAGAGCAGATGTTGATTCAGAAGACGGAAAGCAGCTCAGAGAGGTGGAGTTAAAACTCCACTCCAGTGAGATCATGACCACAGGACAGGCGAACCGAAACAGATCAGTGTTTCAAAGCTGGAAAAAACTGAATCCCATCAATTTTTCATTAAGTAAGTTTACTTATTAATACGTTTTTAATTAAATCTAGTAGTCATTTACTGATGTTTCTAATTCGGATGGAATTACCAACGCAAACATTCTCCGCGGTTATTACAAATATAGAGTTTCCACGAGTCTGAACAGGAAGTGATTCGCACCACTGAGCCGCCATCTTGGTAGGCAAACGCAGCGCAGCATGTGATTCCCAGGTAACACTAAGCACATCCCACATATGGATGCCTTAGTCCTCGACGTGGCCGTCGCTGGTTCAATTCCCAACCTGGCGATCTTTGTCGCATGTCTTCCCCTTCTCTCATTTCCCACTTTCCTGTCAATTAACTATCAAATAAAGGCCACTAGAGCCAATAAAACCTTTTATAAAAATTTTTGAGTACTCCACCCATCTCTATGTAATACTAAGATAAAATATCTGTGATGTTTACTGTAGTACTTACAGCCGAACTAGCAAAACTAGCTTAGCTGACGTAGCTTTTATCTGCTAGCTAAGACAGCCACTTAGCCGACACATTTGTTACTACATGTACTTTCTTTGCCAGTTACCAGAACCTTGTTATTCTCATGATGAGTTCGTATGTCCTTCACTAAGCCGTTTAAACAGTCATTGTAAGCGTCCATGGATTTGAGGCTGCGAAGCTCCTTCATGGTGAGCACACAAGTACAACATGGATAATAGGAGATCCGAGGCAGCAGCGTCTGACATGTTTTCATTATCTGTCTCATACGGGTCGATCCTGACAGCAGCCATTGTGTTTGTATATATTTCTCTTGCACATTGGTCAAGAGGGTCAATATGTTTTCTTTTTGTTGGTCTGGAAGTCATGATGGTTCATTTATGCTTTGCCTACCAAGATGGCGCCGATCACGTCCAGTTCAGACTTGTGGGAACCATATATGAGGCTTAAAATCAAACTTTGAGCATTTTGATTTGATTCAGGACTAGAGTTACTGTCTATAGCAGTAGTCCCCAAACTTTTTCCTGTGAGGGCCAAATAACCTTTCCTTCTCTGGTGGGGGGCCGGAAATTGTTGACGGGGGCCGGGGGTGCGTTTCTCGATTGATTTTTACCCAGAAAGCACATGGGCAAAAACCATGAGTGAAACGGTGACTGGGACTGACTAGTATATATTCCATTGAGGGAAATAACATATTAATTTCTCATATGTTAACATAAAGGCTCGTTTTGAAGTATAAGCTGCTACTTACAGGCATTGCTTCAAAGAATTCAACCTGGAATGCGGGTTCATAACAGACACGTCTGATCATCTGCTCTGCCGCTAGCAAACAACCGTACTGATTAAATAACATAAAAGTCAAGCAGTTCCCTAAAAGTCCAACAGATGGCAGCAATGCGCCCCACAGTTTACAGGACACACTTCCTGCTAAAGAGCCCCCTGGTGGTTGAAGAAAAATCCACATATAAACCGGAAAATACAATAAATGAAAAAAAAAATCTGAATGCTCTCTGATATTGTTCAGGGGGCCGGACCAAATGTGGAGGCGGGCCGTAGTTTGGGGACCCCTGGTCTATAGAATTGATTTTTTTGCTCCTTTATGCTATATATCATTAAATAAAAGAAAAGTTTGATTTGCCTTTCAGAAAAAAAAATCAGTGAGGAAAAAAATAAGAATATTAAAAGTATTCTAGATTTTTTTACTTCTAGATTACAGGAAAATGTGCCTTTAAAATACATCTTAATATGCCTTTCAGGGCTTCCGCAGGTGATAAATGCCCTTTAAATAAAATCTGACTATTGGCCAAACTCTTATTCATGCAAAGTTTTATTCCCTTCACACATGGGTGAGTGAACAAACCAGCAGCTGCAGCAAGACTTATGAATGTACCAAGCAAGCCCTGTCCTCATTCATAAACACACAGAATGCTTATATAACACCTATGCAGAGTCGTCCTCTCTGCACTATTTATAGGCCCCATAGCATGCAGCTTGAAAAGAGCAAGGCCACTTCACGCAACGCCCTTCAAGACCAACACACGGCCTTTGGAGGGACCGCCGGGGCCCGACTTCAGGGAGCTATAATTAGAGTCACGTCACGGAAGAGCCGGCGAAGAGGGAGAGACAGGCGAAGTGACAGATGGGGGGAACGGGGACATTAACCGAGCTGAGCTGCTAATGATGGAGGTTTGTGTTTCTGAGGTTTTACTTCAGCTGTTTCTGCAGGGGTCACCATGTTCCATCCTAAACACAGCATTTAAAAGACGCCTCGACATTCTGGAACCTGCAGGCTCTAAAATGAAGAAATAATAAAAACTGAAATTGAGAAGACATCTTCGTTAACTGAAATAAATGAAAACGTTAATTAATGGGTAAAAACTAAAACTGGAACTATATCAATCAATCAACTTTATTTCACACATTTCAGCAACAAGGCAGTTCAAAGTGCTTTAAATAATAAAAACATAAAAATACAAAGTCATATAACAGTCAAAAGTTTAAACATTACATTTTACAAAGTTTTGTCATTACACATCAAAAAGTTGGTCACCATCATTTATTATGGTTCAAATAAAATGTGTTTATAAAACTAACCAAAACGCACTCGGATTATAGATGATATTCTTTGTTTTTGTGTTTATAAATTTATTTATTAGCCTTTTGAACTGATGTGAAATATATTCTTTTTCCCACATGAACAGTTTAGATCAACTGCCTGCAAAGTATGGCGGTGCCTCTGCTAAACACCAGAGTCAGTTCAACAATAATTAAATACATCTTTATAAAATTATATATTTTGTTGGTTATTCAACACCCAATGTATAAATAATCACAAACTTTGATATTTTTCAATTTTGTACCTAAAAATTAACCAAAATATAAAAAACAGAATTTTAACAATATTTAACTAATAATAGCTAGCTAATCCGCTCTAAAACTAAATTAAAACTGATTAAATTAGCCAAAATGTCAAATTGAAATAAAAAATCCCAAACTATCAGAACCCCAGACAGTAAATCCACTTGTCCTGCCATTATGAGCCAACAATGAGTCCCCCAGAGAGCCGCACGGCTTGTTGGGTTAAAAATAATTTACAGCCCGTCAGCAGGGCGTAAATTAACACCCTCACAGCTCGGAGTAAATAAAGAAACCATAAAATGGCCACGTCGATGGCGAAACGACACTTTGATCACCATAACGCCGACCTGAATGGGGCTGGGTGTCAGCGGGCGGATCGATGCAGCCACTGTAGATGTCAGGGTGACATAACGCCGCCGCAGGAGACTCTGCAGGAGCCGAGCAGGATGAAGATGAAGGAGAGGCGTCCTGGCAGGTTTGACAGCTGATCAGCGCTTAAAAAAAAAAAAACGCCAACCGTGGGGAAGACGGGCAGAGAAATGGTACATGCAGAACAGCTGATGGTCGTCAGACCATGGATCACCCAGCAGCAACCGATAACACACAAGCTGCAGCTGTTAATTTAAATTAAATTCTCCTAAGATTAATCGGTTTAATTGTGATTAATTGTGATTAATCAATTATTGAAATAATTTTCAACTAATTTAATCACCAATTAATCGTTAACTGCAGTATAGCGACTGAAATAAAGTCAATTTTCTCAAAGTACAACAAAGTCATAGCAGTAATCAAGCCAAAGCTGGGTTTTTTTTTTTTGTTTTTTCTTTTTTTTTTTTAGAAAATTTAAAAAATAAAACTTCTTTCTCTGTTAATATGTTTACCTATAACTCCTCAAGTAACCTAGTTGTAATTTGACCTGGTTCAAATTCTTTAAAAAAATGAAATGAGAAAATCTTCTATAAATCTCCTTTTGCTGTTCTTTTCTTAATCAGTTATTGCAAAAATGAATTAATCTACAAATAATCAAGCATCACTAAAGTAAAGCTATGTTGCATTTTAGTCAATAACATGTTTATTTTTTCATTTAAAATCAGAATTTAATAGCTTATTTGCATTTTTTGCTGTATTTTTTGTATAACAAAATGCTTAAATGGCTACATGCTGCAGAATCTACCAATTTTCCTTTCAGATTAATTGATTAATCGTCCGAATAATTGATTACTAGTTGCATATTTAGTGTTACAGGACTTGTTTTCCTGTGAATAAAGACTCTTTCCAGTTTAATCCAGGATCTTCACACTTTTCTGTAGTTTTCTTAGTGTTAGTAATCTTGATGTATTTAACATAATTTTAAAAAAGTAATAATTTTTGTTAACTGACCTCTAGTTTGATTTTTTAAAAATCTGATTTATTGTCAGACACCTGGATTCTTCTTCTTTTGCTACTATTTACGTCTTAAAGTTATAAGTATCTGTAGCAAAAATAACCGTGTGTGTTAGATATCGATATCCAGATTTTACTTTGCCTAAGTTGAGGCAGAGCAGCAGCAGGAGTTGAGCGCGCTGTGCAGATTGTGAGTTAGTTGCATGAATAAAACATGTGAGGTACATGTAGTCATGCAGCAGGAGGATGAAGCTTTTCCCTGTTTAACACGGCCAGCCTCTGTTTCCCTGAGCGCGGAGAACAGCCGGGTCCGATCAGCGGGGTCCGATCACAGCCACAAAAACACCAGAAGGAAAGAAAAGTAATGAATTAAACAGGAGGAGAAGGGGTTCATTTTTGGGTCTTGTTCAGTCGCATTTAATTAGTAGTATGAACGAGCTTGTCAAAAAAATTGGATTTCAACAAAAAGTTGGAATTAAGCATCTGAGCGTAAACATACTCTTATAGGACCAATATTTTAAATAATAATTAAGATCGGCTGATACCGATGTGGATATCAATAATCAGTTGTTTCTTAATTAACTCCCTCATTATTCTGAATTAATTATTCTCCATTGCAGCCATTTCTATGTTCGTTTCACTCACTGGACGCCATTTTTCTTTCAAATCCACCTTTTTGTTCTTCCTGGATATAGTAAACAAATAGTTGAAAACATTCCTCAGAGGTTTTGGCCCATATTAACATATTTTCACAAGTTACTTTAGATTTTCATCCCGTTCCACAACATCCAGAACCATTATTAGTGGATTTGGTGACTGATGGCAGTTAAATCCACTATTTTCAGTGATGTGTTCAAGAAACAAGACTAGTTGTATTTTATAAATTTACTCATCAAATATCTATTTTCATTGTTCGCTTTTCTATTTCAATGGAAGAATAATGAAAAAAGCTAAATGCAGTAACAAAATCTGAACATCCAACTGAAAGTATTTTTATTTTTACAAAAAAACACTCAATAGTTTATGAAAACTGCTCAGTGTTTTTAAGACGTCCTTCCATGTTTGGTCAGTAGTCCCGGTTCTTTTTCAGCCTCAGCTGTGCAGAGTTTTTTCCTTTCACTTGCCATCTTCAGAGTCCCTCAGCGCCGTTTGTTACGTAATGGATCAGTTTCCCTGCAGCGTAGTCATTATTTTTGAATGAGGACAGGGACGACAGCGGTTGCAGGGAAGCAGGTTATCAGCTTGATCTACTTGACTCTGAAAACACGAGTCAAGCAGTTAGAATACAAAATAACTTCATTGCTCTCATGGCCCACAGGACTGCAGAGCCGTCCACAAACGCAGCTAATAAACAGATGGGTTTATAGATAAACCATTTCATCTGGTAAGATGTTAAAAATGTGGAAATGTAATTCCACTTATTTACCATAACATTGTCCACCTCTTTTGGTCAAACTAATCTTCCCTCAATATGCCACTCATATTTTGGTTGGATTTTATTTCTTCTTTTAATAATCAAATGTATTTGATTTTATTTCACAGCATTAGAATAAAAGCAGTGGAATCAGTAGATTTATAGTTCACAAGCTAACAGGTGTTAAGCGGCTTAAGCAGCTAATAATCTAGAGGGGGAAAATAGGTGCTACATGTCACTAATTGTTAAGCTAACAGATGCTAAGTGGATCTAAAAACTAACATGGCAACCCATGATAAAACAGTGCTACATAGCACCAAGAGATAATAAACTAATGGTGCTAGCAGGTGCTAAATGTTACTATTACCTAACAAGCTAACAGACGCTAACAAGTGCTAGGTGTCACTAAAAATTTGCAAAGTAGCACATTATACAAAATGTTACCAATAATTAATAAGCTAATGAGTGGTAACAGGTGCTATGTTACTATTAACTAACAAGCTAACAGATGCTGTCAGGTACTAGGTAGCACTAATAATTACCCAAGTAGAACATGATAAAAAGTGCTACTTAGTACCAATAGTTAGCATGCTAATGAGTGTTAACATGAAGAAAATGGCTCTAAAAAGCTAACCAGATAGACGATCTTAAGAAGTGTTAAGTGGTGTAAGTAGCTTTTAAGCTAGTGCGGGCAAACAGGTGCTACATGCCACTAATTGGTAACGAGCTAGCAGGTGCTACATGCCACTAAATGGCAATGAGCTATCAGGTGCTACATGTCACTAATTGCTAACGAGCTAACAGTAATAATTAGCAAGGTAACATGATAAAAAATAAAGCAAATGGGTACTAACAAGCTAACAGGTGGTACTTATAGTTTGTAAGGTAGCACGTAATAAAAGGTGCTAAGTAGGACTTAAAGGCTAATGGATAATAATGGATGTGACATTGCAACATATGATGTAATTGCATTTCTACATGATACTTTGTACTTTTTAAGCTAAATTTAGCATTTTACACAATTAACTTGTAAAGTTACATAATTAAAAAACACTGAAGGCACTTTAGGAAACTGTTTAGTGAGAATAAACTCTTAAATGCTTTACAGTTTATCACAGTTGTTTTATTTATTAAACATATTTTTTAAAAACATAAAGCCTTGGTAACTTTGATAAACATCATATTATACAAATCATTTACAACATTGCATTACATGAAAGAGAAAGTAAAGGCCACATTGAACATAGTCACAACTAGGATTCAGAATGACTCTGTTGTGCATAATACAGTTTGTTTGAAGCCGTTTACATTTATAACATTTTTGAAACGCTCCGTTTTTCTTTTAATATTATAGCTGTCATACAGAAACATACACAGACACTCAGGTTAACAAAAATATCATCTATAATTAGAGCAAAACACAGAGGACGCAATTTGAGATTTCGCAGACAGGTTATATGTTATGTATATTAATATGTACGATTTTTTTCTGTTGCATTAATTGGACCGAAGCATGAGAACATCATTAAATACATGAAAATACACTGAAGTTGTTACACTCATGCCTGCATGGGTCTAACATTTAGATAGAACATTGTTGTTTAAAACCAACATATGGGCAGTTTTTATTTCTTTTTTATTCAGATCGATTAAACATAAAAAGTTACGTTTAATTAGAATCATCAGATATCCTGAAAATCATCCTAAGCTGTCATTTTCTCTGTGAAGTTCTGAAGTATTTGTGGTTAATTTTTCTTTACTTTGTCACACAGAAAGACTGAATACTGTACATTCAAACATTTATCGATGATACATTTTTTCTATGTTCAACCAGTCGGTTGCATCACTGTAGTGCTAACATGACGCACTTTTTTTATTTATAGTACTTGAGATAAATTAAAAAAAAACCATAACAGATTCTGATTAAGGCACTAAAAAGGTTTTATGCACAGTTAGAAACAACCAGACAAATTTACTGATGATATTTTCATTATGTGTTATTGCATATGGAGCACTGCTGGTTTCTTATCAGGGGAGTTTTTACATAACCACACAATAAACTCACAAACCTAACTTACCTTATGCATTAATGGCCACTTAATGAGCAGCTCAGTTTAAATAAGAAGTTTAAAATCGTCCATTTTGCATTGGATGCACCAAAGTCCCATCAAGCAATATCTGACGCAGTAAATGTGAATTAAATTACGTCTGATATGTTGGTTTCAACATTCATGCTTGAATTTTATGGTTGCTTCAACATATTTTTCTTTTCATTTGATAAACCAGAGCATTTTTTTTCCCAGAGGTTAAGCTTCATTTTAAATAAAATGCCGTTTTGATAAAATGGATAGAGTAAATAAGGGATATTATTGCAAAATTATTACATATTTAAGAGAAAATACTATCCAGACCAACATGACCATGTGGTAAAAGTAATTGCCCTCCTTTGAAGCCTTTGTGACATTTACCAGAAAACATGTTGATGATCCTCAACACTTTGCTAAAATACTCTGCAGACTAAACAGGTGGTCAGGTAAGATTCTGACATAATGTCAGTTTATATACTGCCAAGGCTCTAGACTGCAACCAGTTTTGTCGGAGATGCAACCTAATTTCTCAAAGTTGCGGCTAAAAAATCGGAGGTCGCACCGCTGTGATCAGTCATCGAAAGGCAAAAAAAAAAATTCACCGATATATGAACAAACACAAACCAGATCCATTTTATGGTCTAAACCAGTCAGAGATGGTGGAAGTCTGCCTGGGAATGGTTCAGATATTCCTACATGTGACAGGCCAGGCTAGGCTAGGCAAGACTAGGTTAGGATAGGATAGGCTAGGCTAGGAGAGGCTAGGCTAGGATAGGCTAGGCTAGGATAGGCTAGGCGAGGCTAGGATAGGCTAGGCTACGCTAGGCTAGGCTAAGCTATGCTAGTCAGATAATCAGAGTAGATGTAGCACAGATGAGGAGGGAAACTGAAAAGAACAATTGAAAACTTTTTCATCAATTTAAGCCCTAAACCGTCTGAAAGTCATTACCAATACTGAAATTAAATATTCATTCTTAAATTAAATGTTAAATTTGAGATGCTTAACCCATAAAATATTTCTTCTTATAATTTAATTTTTATCTATTTCATTAATTTATCTTATTTTGGAATGTTTTTAAGTTTCAATTTCAGCTCATTGAAGCACTTTAAACCCTTTTTTAATTTCAGTTCTGCTTCATATAAAGATTTTTACTAGATTGTTAATTAAATGATTTACACATTAAAATTGCCTTAATGGAGATTGATTTAAAAAAAGTTAACCTGTGAAACTGAGATGTCAAATTCAATGTGGTTTAAAAGTTTGGTGGAGCTAAAAAGTTTAAAAACGTTTTAGGTATTAAATAAACTCCTGCCTGTTGCATTGTGGCTGAATTAAAACCAGGATTCCTCTTCAGAAATGTAAAATAGTCGCAAATTCTTGGTGGTAGTTTATGGTAAAGGGTCTAGAGGACAGTTTCTTTTCCACATTTATAAAAACCTGGTTGATTTTTATAGATTTTCCTATTTCCAAAACTATTCTAAGTCGTTTTGAGCAGATAATTTAAAAACTAAATCGCATAGAGGTAAAATGTGACCATTTTCTCCAGTTAGTCTATGTAATTAGAGAAAAAGAGCTGATTTGCTGCATTGAAATGACTTAATGTAATCTCTTGTGTTGGTTCAGTTAAAATTTCTTTCATAATTATAATATTTTAAAGTTTTTAATAGTTAGTGAAAAGAAGTTTTCCCTTTAAAGGGAATAAATTACTTTCTATTTCTCTGCCTTGTTTTCAGCCAAATGTGAAACTCTTCTAACCGCAGAACGAACGAATCTGAAACCATTTTAAATCCAGCCGTACTCATTAAAACATCAATGCCAAATGAAACACAAAAAACAGAAAATTCATGTGTTGTCATGTGAAACACATGGAGATTTATCAGAATTAAAGATTTATTTTTATCAAAAATAGATCACAAAAATAAACATCAACAAATGGAATTAAAAAGAAAACTGAAGAAATCATAGTAACGCGTTTTGTGAACACTCCTTCCACTTCAAAGTTCCCACATTGCAGGAATTTATTGCTTCTTCCTGTTGGAGGATGAGAATGACTCGGTGATGAACCTGAAGTTTTCAGCTGAAAACCGAAACAGGATGAACAGTTCGACCACGGCTGTCTGTCATTATTGATACGCTGCCGCACGCGCAGGGGCAGCATCGCATTTTTAATGCAGAACACATTAATCATCAGTCAGAGCTCATCAGAGCTTCGGTCCAACTGAAATGTCCCTCAGCTGTTTTCATGCATCAGAAAAGCAGTGACGGCCGGCGAACGCTGCAGAGTGGATGAACTTCTGTGTTTATGTGGGCTGCAGTGACGCAGGTTTGTCGATACACCAAACCTTCAACACGAGAGCGTGAGCTTGGGTTCAGTCTGCCGTCTCAGCCCACAGCACGTGCCTTTCAGTCCAAATGAATCCAGAAAGTTCAGCAAATATCCAGCTCTGGAAAAATGAAGAGCCCACTGAAAACCTGCTGGTTGTTCAACCAAATACTGATTTCTGATCTCTTTCTGAGTTAAAACATTAGTATTCTTGTTTATAAATGAATATTAACTTGTTTTCTTTGCAGTATTTTAGGTCTGAAAGCACTGCATCTTTTTCATTATTTTTACCGTTTCTCATTTTCTGCAAATAAATACTAAATTTGTGCTTGGAATTTCAGAGACATGCTGTCAGTAGTTCATAGAAAAAAAGAACAATGTTCATTTTATTCAGATATAGACCTATAAAGAGTAAAATCAGAGAAACTGATCATTTTAAGTAGTCTCTTAATTTTTTCCAGAGCTGTTTATATAAGAAGCTCCTGAATTTGTTTGATTTTAGCAGTTTGAAAAGTTGAGCTGACGAGCTGCAGGTGGCGCTATTCCTACATCCAGAACTGAAGACAACATGCTAACATAAATCTACATTTACCATTAAAACTTTGTGATAACATTTCTGCACAGCTTTGAAACTTTGCGTGACAATTGCTCAGATTTTTGACAGAAAAAGATCTGATAAAGTTTAAAATTTTTCTGTACGATGTTTGATTCTCTGGAGGGAAGCTGCTGTCTTTGGGTAACTTTTATGGTTGTATAATTATCGTTCCTACAACTCAAATTTAGAAAATCTGGAAAACCATTTGATCATCCCAACAACTTTTCAACCAAACCTTGATATTAATCAGCGTCTAAACGTGTTTGGATGCTGGTTCACTTCCCTTAGGGTTACTTTGCTCTGGACCAGGACCTCAATTTGCTCTTCATTATCTTGTCAGCCTAACTTGACTATGACTGCCGAGCGCCACAACCACCAGGCTTACCAAGTTTTTTGGGGGAAACCTTGATGATTGCTACACATCCTGGGCTGACTTTGCACAACTTTCTCAGATTCCCATTCACACTTCTCCGCCATCTTTACATCGCCGTAATTTTGGATGTAGCCTCACATGAAGCCATTGTTGCCAGTTCTGTTTCACGTGACAATAGCCAAGCCATGTTTGGGCTTCAAGGATACACTGACATCACGACAACAAGCCATCACAGCCTTGCAGTAAAAGTTTGTACACGCTTAAAACACCCTGACATAGGTAATGCTTCACACTACATCCCAAAGACCTCATCAAGACGATGATCAGAACCACTCATGTTCAGCAGCATTGTTCCACATTGACTTTACCACATATGCTCATGTTGGCACTACAAGCTAACACAACTGAGCTGTGTACGGCCATGATTGGGTCACGGCATGAGGCTGTCATGGTCCGCCCTGTTTCAGATGCCCAACTTCAGAAATATGTTACCAATTTGATAATAACATTTTAACTGTGAAAGTGTTTCTTAATAAATCCCAGTAGATTTCCAACAACCTGCAAGGACCCCCCATGGTGTAGCCTATCTTTGATGTCAAAGTATGGACGTCATTCTGTGTTAAAGTTACCATAGCAACTCCTCATGTGATGCGATATCCAAAGCTCTTTAAAATAGGAACCCTTAATGTTGATTTTGTAAAACCAGAACATCTTCTACGCTGATGATACACTGATGTAAATCAGCAACGTCAAAATTTAGTAACTCTGTGATTCTTGAGGTCAACAGTTTCTGGATGGGCTTTTTACCCAAAACAAAATGTTGGCATCACTGTGATGGGTTAACAGTGACGTCCAATCCCTGGTAACAATCTGATTTTCAGTATTATACTGAGAAACAGTGATTCAATTTACAAAAGCTTAAAATTCTCCCAGTGTTTTAGATCCAATATTTCTCAAATAAATTTTTATTTATTTTCTCCAGCTTCTTTCCAGAGGGAAACCGAAAATAGTTAACATTTATGACTGACACATAAATCTGTCAGTCGTTTTGTTTTTATATTTTTAAACCTCAAATATTTGGAAATAAAAGTTAAGAAGCTAAAATGAACCACAAAGAAAAACACGGCCATCTTGGGGGTTTGTTTCCACCTGCAGCTCATCCAAACAAATTTGACCAATATTGCAATTGTGTGACAATTCCCCAGTTTGTTTATTTTCCCAGATTTCAGATATATTTCAAATTCAAATTTGTGCTGGACTGATTTCTTGTTAAATGTTTAAGACAGTCAGAGCCGCTCTGCAGAACCTTATTGGCTTTTAAGCTAACAGAAAATGCAAAATCAAACAAAACAATGTTCAAAAAAGCTGCTTTTCTCATTCAGGCTGGACATCTGAGGCTCATTTAGTTTCTCTAAATGTGCTTTTCTACCTGATATCAAGGTGAAAACATCTTTATAGTTTAGTTCTTTGTATATTTTAGAGATTAAATTGAGGACATTTCAGATAACTTGAGCGGTGTTGGTGATAATAATCAGTCCTTCAGGTGTTAAAGCTTCTGTTTTCAGTGAGTTGACACTGAGGTAGTGATAAATCAGGTATACAGCATTCTGATCAGAGATCCAAACAGGAACATTCAGATATAATCGGATGTCTGGATTTAATGCATTTTCACACTTTTATCCCCATTTTTCCTCCCACTGGTGCAGACATGTTCATCAGAGCTGCCTGCTGGAGCTGCTTTGTTTTCACCAAGGCAAAAAAAATAAAAACATGTTAAAAATCTACAAAATAATTCACCATGCCAACCTCCTGGTATAAAACATATACAGTATGATACTTTAAAAAACTAAAGTTATCTGTCTGACAGGATAACGTCTCCATATCTGCGAGCTGTTGTTGTTCCCACATTTCTTCTGTTCACATGCTCTACTTTCCAAGCATGCAGTAACGTGATTTGGTTTGGATATGATATGCGACATACAGACAGCAACAACAAGTTCTTGTTCTCTACAGCAACAGGAGAAACCTCCCAAACAACATCTAAGTATACGCAGGACGAAGCTGATGATTCAAGTAACGTTTGAGTCGTACCTCAGAGTCTGCGCTCTGTAAAAATCCAAGTAAGCCGAGTTTCCCGTGAAGTTTTGTCTTTGTTTTTAATCCAAGCTTTGTTGTTTTTTTCTTCAGCAGAGGAGGGAAGCAGGAGAGGATGAGGAGGATGGTAGCAGCTGGAGTGGGTTAGTGAGGTTCATCAATCTTTCCCTGAAAAAGAGGAAGAAAAAGAATCATTTAATGAAAGAATTGCAAATATTTTATCTTATTTGAACTGCAGCAAAATGAGGTAGATTTGAAGGTCGCTACGTCTCCATAGCAACTTTCTTAGTTATGTTTTTGCAACTTTGACTTTAAACTTTACAAAATACAACACTTTCAAAAAAAGTTATTGGTGGCAATTGACTAAGACATTTCTATCAGGAGAAAAAAACACATTTTAATAAAAAAAACAACAACTCAAAAATGAAATAAAATTAGTTTTTATGCAGTGATACACAATAAATTAGCATGAACAGTCAAAGCTTGTACAAGGTGTTGAAACTAAGAAAATATAACATATATGATATCAGGAAATATCAGTTATTGGTAAGAGAAGCAGCAGAGCTGATACTACTAACTGGATTAATCATGATTAATCGATTCTTAAAATAATCGTCAACTTATTTAGTAATCGATTAGTCATAAACTGGAGAGTACAGACTCAAAAAAGGCACCAACATATTTAGAGCAGTAACTAAACCAAAACTGTACAAAACTATTTTGCATTTAAGATTAAAAAAAACTCAGAACTCCTCAAATGTAATAACATTATGGTGCACAGAAGTCAAATGACTACGGTGTTGATTTCTGAAAAGAGTTTAGAAAAGTCTGAGTTCCTCACCACATCCAGTCATAACCTGAGGAATATTGAAAAATTCACTTCCTCTTCTCACATTCAGAAAAACCTGATTGGGTCGACCGTTAAACTGTCGTCTCAAACTGCTGAATTATTGAATTCACTCACTGATTAAAAATTTACCCTGGGAAATGACTCATGATCTGACATGCAGCTTTTCCTCTAAGAATCCAGCCGATCTGAGCTGAAGCTGATGAATTGATTTTCCTCATTACATCAAATCACATATTGATACTGATTCTCACTCACGCTGCAGCGCAACGAGCCTCACAGATGTGTCACCGTTTGGAGATTTTCTCCTCATATTCTGGTCATTGTAGATATTTTTGAGGTAGTGTTACCAACATTCACACTCCTCCCTTTATTGATGCTTCTTTATGTCCTTAATGCCTCAAAGTTTTCCTCTTAAATCCTTAACCGTCTTCCTTTCTTTCTTTCCTTCCTTCTCTCCTCCATTATGTTCTTTTCTTCCTTTCCTTTATTCTTTCTTTCTTCCTCCATTGTGTCTTTCCCTCCTTCCCTTCCACCATTTCTCCTTCCTCCCTCCTGTCTTACCTCTGTTCCCTCCTTATTTGTGCTGCTATTTTTTTGGTTTTCCTTTTTTTGTTGAATTTTTGGTTATTTGTTCCCATTTCTTCTTTAATTGTTAATTTTAGACTTTTATTTAATCTTTTCATTCATTCTGTCTTCTCCTGTTCTGTTTAAATCTTCATCCCTCCATCCCTCAAGCTTTGTTGCCTCTCTGCCGTCCTCCATCGTGTTGCTCAGACTCACCCAGTTCTTGTCGGCCATCTTTAAAAATATTTCCTAATCAATTTCAATCGATTTTTCTTTGATCGATTCATAAAGACCTTTAATTGATTCTTTCAAAGAGTCTTTTCTCGTCGCTACAGCAAAACAACATGGTGAAAGTAGCATTGAAAGCCGCCCAATCAGGTTGTAGCTTCCACTGTTGCCATGGAGATAGACAACGAATAGAATTCTATCATTTGTCTAAACCAGGAAATGGACCCCTGCCTCTGATTTCCATTAGATTTTTATTTTATTCATGGTGTAAAAAAGAAAACGCTAAACTTTTCAGCCAGCAGGAGGCGCTGCACTCAGTCTGTACCTGCAGGAGCTGCTTATGTAAACAACATGTTATTGTGATCCTGTTGCTAAGCAGCTGCTCAGACAGTTTAAGCCTGCGTGTTTGTAATTCATCAAGCCTCCTTTAAATAACAGCGGCTGAATGAAACACAGGCTGAACGCTCTGCTCTCTGATTTTACTCTGAATTATTCTGGAATAAATCCACGAGGCTCAGAAGGAAAAAACGACGACGAAAAGTTTAATTCGACTGAAAACTGAAACAATTTGGTGATGCACAGATAGTTGAGCACCGTTTTGCATTTCTTTTGTTTTTTTCCTTAAATAGATTAATAGATATCTAAGCAAACATTGTAATTTGCTTAGTTAAAATATGAAATAAATAATCATTAACATTTAAATTGCAATGATGTTACGTATACAGTTTATAAAGCAGCAATTTGTCCAGATAGTCTATTTTTGTGATACATTTGTTAAGATAAAGTTATTTAATGTTTATAATAAAAACTGGAACAAATCACATTTTTAGCAGCTTAAAAGTGGATAAAAGTTTGAACTTTCTTACAAATTAAGAAAAATGATTTTTGATCAGTTTGGTTTTATTTCACTGTTATGATTTGTCTTTCAAAACCTTTTTAAAAAGTGATAAAAATACAGATTTTTTCTCTGCTTTTCTTTGCACCATCATTATTTAAAAGTAAATGTTCTGCAATAAAGCAGCTACAAAGAAAGCTTTCAGGATTTTGAGAAAAATGGTTGCTTTTTCTTTTCATAAAACAAATAAAAATTATTTAAGAAGTTATTTTTCTTTTAAATTTACTATTATTTTTTATTATATTTCATTAAATAATTTTGAATACTTTTATAGTACTTTATATCTCTGTTTTAACACTTTTAAAAACCATTTTAATGATAATTAATTTTTACTTCATTAAATAATTTTCTTTTTTTTCTGTTCTTGAGAAAAATGCAGCTTTAAAAAAAATCCCCTTTTGGCAAATCCTAAAGAAAATGTTTTCAAATAATGTTTTATTTATTAAAAAAAAATACTTAATTAGATTGTTTTTAGTTGTATTTTATTTACTATTGAAATGTTTTTCCTGTAAATTATATTAAATAAATAACAGTTAATGTTTTTGCCCCATATTTTAGATCTCTATTTCAAATTGTTGAATTAAAAAAATTGTAAAGCCAAAGGAAATTTATTTTAATATCTTCATGTTTCTAATTCTTTGTTATATTCATTTTAGTTTTATTTTACCAGTGTAATGCTTAATTAAGTTTTGTTTAATTAAATAATTTTCTTGTTTTTTACAATAAATTTAATGATTCTTATTTCAGCTGTTTTTATTATTTTAAATTGCTGCCATTTCTTCCTTTTTTCTGGTCTTTTGGTTTTATTTTTCCCGATAGAGGATATTTATGTGATATTCCTCTGAATTTTTTATTGGAACTTTTTAGTTTTTCCTAATTTTTCCCAGGTTTGCTTTATATTTAGGACTAAACAGTTGATTTCAGTTGCTTTCTTCCGTTTAATTTGTGCTTTTTAACGAGACATTTGCTTCATAATGTGGTCCAGACCAGAATCAACCCTGTTGGGATTTTTCTGAATCTATTTACAAAAGTATTTATTTTGCTCCAGTAGAAATCAGGTTTAGAAGCTTCTGATGGTGAATTCTATCAGCTGGAGGTGGAGACGTGTGTTTGTCTGTCTCTGCATCGTCTCCTCTGGACTCCATGAGGTTTTCCAGGTGAGACCTTGAGGCTTTGGGACAGCGGGGACACGGACACTAACGACACCTGTCAGAGCGGAGCGGCCTGCTCTGGCCCACATGAGGAAGAAGTTTGCAGTAATCCCTCCAGGTGGAAGCAGTTAGTTTAATATTTCTTGGAGCTGTCATGTCTGCAGATGTCAGGACGGAGACGCTGCGTTACGTAACATGACCGACTGATGTTCTCCTTTTCTTTCCGTCTTTGTCACTTTTACTCCTTTTCCTCATTTCCTCTCCGTCTAACTTGAGCCTGAGATCTTCCACCTGATCGGCTCCTGTTTCCTCCCATCATCCTGCAGATTCAGATCCAACTTCTGAAACTTCTGCATGACTTTTAATGAGCCGTGAGGTCAGATACAGGGACAGACGTCACAGCTCGGAGCATTATAAATCACAACTCTAGTGATTTCCTGCAACAACTTCACTGTTTAGTGTGAATAATGTTATTACATTGGATTGTTAAGGTCTTCTGATGTTGCTGGAAAATTATTCTAAGTTATATAGAGGCGTGAAAAGGCTTTAAAAAGTGTTCACATTGAAACAGAATAAAAAACTCTGCTGAGAGCCTCTGCTGCCACCTGCAGGCCGACAGTAGTACAACAACAATCAGCAGGAGCTTTGAAGGTTTCTGTTTGTCCAGGTTTTAAATCTGAATGCAGTTCTATGAATCTTTTTTCAGCTGTGAATAAAACATCATATAAACAGTTAATATTATCCTGCTCTATATTTGGTTCGTTACTGGCTTGTTTTCTCATGTTTTAATAGATTTATTGGAGTGTCAAACTTCATTTGTGCTTCTTCCAAACCTCTAGCCAACTGTGGTGGCTCTGCTTTATTTTGAAGTATTTCTATGCTAGATCTTAATGTTTTAGACTGGAGTTGTGTTTTTGTTTCCCTCCTAAAACGGCTCTTTGAAACTTGCTCAATATCAGGTTTAACTTCTATTTTCTCTGTGTTTTAATTTTACTTTATTCAAAGAAACAATCATAATGGAAAAAGTTTGCATTTTGTCTTCACACAACAGGAGGAACTAAAATAAACTGATCAAAATGAATTTGGACTGCCCCCATCTGGCCAAATGAAGGAACTGAATCTGGATTTCTTAACTAAATCTTTGACTAAATGTGCTTACTGATTAAAATGTTTTGTGCAACATGTTGGTCAGACAGGAAGTGACAACAGAAAGTTTGATGGCTCACCTTGTGGGACCAGAACTGAACGTTGGTCTGAGCTGAAGACCCGTCAGACTTTTCCTCCAAACATCCATCAGTCTGATAAACTCCAGTGAAGGGTTTTACTCCGTCAGCTTGTTAAAAATCCTCTGTTTTTGTCTCCAGCAGCTCCATCTGCTCCGCCCGCCGTCCAGGTGTGTCCAGGTGCTGCAGGACCAGGAAGCTCCAACACTGAGGGGCCTTCAGCTCGGATCAGGTATGGATCAGAAACGCAGGGATCTCTATGAAAACAAGGGACTGATCTTTTTATTTTAAATACTTTTTGAAAAAATATTTGAGTTAGGGATTTTTTTTATTATTATTTCTAAACTCAGTTAAAGGAAAATCCTGTGATGTTTTCTTTCCTATTTTCTTCATACATTCTTGTTTTCTTTTGTGCATTAAAACTGAATTATTATTCCTTATTATTTTTGGACCAAAAATATTTAGCAGTGCAATGATTTGTTGAAAAGTTTGATATCTTTTCAGACTTGAACTCATTTAAATATATTAAATTTAATAGTTTAAACTAGTTCTTGATTTGGATTTTATCTTAAAATCCCCTAAAATAAATAATTTTTTTTTTTAATTTACGTATTACAATTTATGTTTCTATTTTAACCTTTTTTGTGCTACTGTACAACTATAAAGCATGAATATAATTTAGTATTTTCTGTTAATTCTTGATTTTTCATTTTGATTGCTTACTCTATGTATTTTTCTTTAAATTATCTTTTTTTAACATATTTATATCCACGATAGACGAGGTTGAGCTCTAAAACATCTAAAAATGAACTTAGTGTATTAAATTGCTGCTGAAACTTATAATCCTAATATTTTTACTGTATTTAATTATATTTTTTAACTTGTCGTTAGTAATTATTTGCTGAGCGTCTCAGTTTGTGTGTGGGTTTTTTAACAACATGGATGCTTCCACAATATGGTGGTTTGGAGCCTCCTCACTTTTTGCTCCTGCACCAGACAACAACAGAAAAGTCTGGAAGGTTGCCATGGAAACTGCATCTGCCACGGCGGCGCAGTGAGCCGCTTTGACCACACGATGGCGCTGTTGTATTGGAAAAAGCTTCACGCCAGATTCGTTGTGTTTAATTCAATGAGGGTTTTCTTATTTTGTGTTCCCCCCAACCCTGCGTGTTGTCTCGCAGGCTTTTTTTTTTTTAAGTTTTAAACTGAGTTTTAATTTGGTCCCGTGTCAGAAGAATGTAAACCTTAAAGCTGCTCACTAATGACAGTAAAGTGCTACAGAGGCTGATCAGTTGTCCTGCTGGATGGAAGACCGTGTCATGAGTGGAGAGGGGATCCAACTGAAAACATTCCCCCTGCTGGCGGAAACAAGGAGCCTCAGACGTCCGTCAGCTTCCCGCCGTACGCCTTGTGCGGGCTGCAGTTCGTGTACTTGACGGAGTCCGCGTCCTCGCTGTCCGGGTAGTCGGACTTGGACAGCGACGGCCGGCTGTCGCTCCGCTTGAACTCGCCGAACGGAGCCTGCTGCTGCCCGCAGGTCACGTGCGTGTACTGGAACTGCTCCTCGTGCTCGGTCTCCCGGTGGTAGAAGTAGTTGAAGTTGGAGACGATGACCGGAACCGGAAGCGCGATGGTCAGGACCCCGGCGATGGCGCACAGGGACCCCACGATCTTCCCACCGATGGTCACTGGACACATGTCGCCGTAGCCTACCGTTGTCATGGAAACCACGGCCCACCAGAAGGCGTCCGGGATGCTGCTGAAGCCCGACTCCGGGTCGTCGGTTTCCGCGAAGTACACGGCGCTGGAGAAGAGGATGACCCCGATGAAGAGGAAGAAGATGAGGAGGCCCAGCTCTCGCATGCTGGCCTGCAGCGTCTTCCCCAGAATCTGCAGCCCCTTGGAGTGGCGTGAGAGCTTGAAGATCCGGAAGACCCGGACCAGGCGGATGACCCTCAGAATGGCCAGCGACATGGCCTGCTGGCCGTTGCCCTGGTGCTCCGCCAGCTCCAGCCCCAGCGTGATGAAGTAGGGCATGATGGCCACGATGTCGATAGTGTTCATGATGTTCTTGAAGAAGGCGGGCTTGCTGGGGCAGGCGAGGAACCTGACCAGAAGCTCGAAGGAGAACCAGATGATGCAGAGCGTCTCCACGATGAAGAACGGGTCCGTGAACGGGTTCGGCGGCTCTGCGCCCGCGGTGCCGTTTGTCGGGATCATCCCCTCGAAGATCCGGGCCTCCTCCCTAAACTCGGGTAAGGTCTCCAAGCAGAAGATAACGATGGAGATGAGGATGACCAGCACGGAGACGATGGCGATGCCCCGAGCGGGTCCGGAGCTCTCGGGGTACTCGAACAGGAGCCAGACCTGCCGCTGGAACTCGTTCTCCGGCAGCGGCCGCTCCTCCTCCTTGATGAACCCTTCATCCTCCTTAAAGTTCTCGATCACCTCCTCTCCCAGCTCGTAGAACTTGATCTCCTCCATGAAGATGTCCACCGGCACGTTGACCGGTCTCCGGAGCCGTCCTCCGGACTGGTAGTAGTACAGGATGGCATCGAAGCTGGGTCGGTTCCGGTCAAAGAAGTACTCGTTCCTGAGCGGGTCGAAGAAGCGCATCCTTTTGCGCGGGTCCCCCAACAGAGTGGCGGGGAACTGGGCCAGGGTCTTCAGCTGCGTCTCGAAGCGCAGCCCGGAGATGTTGATGACCACCCGCTCGCAGCACTCCTGGTTGTCGGCTCGCTCCGGGTCGTACACATCCTGGGCGGACAGCGCGGCCAGTGCCACCGTCTCATCCAGGTTCTCCCCGGGCACCACGGTCATGCTGCTGGTGCCCCCCGCCCCCGCCCCGCTTCACCTTTCCCGTCCAGGCGCTGCTGTAGTCTGGACTGTGGGCTCGGCTGTCACATTCGCTGCATTTTAAGCAGGCTTTGCCCTCCCCGAGCTGACGTGTGTGCACGCTCCCTCACTGAGGAGGAAATAAAAACACACATGCAAGCACATATGCTCGAGATTAATCTGATTTCATGACCATAAATGAGTCACAATTGAGAAAAAACTGTATTTTCCGACGGAAAGTGTCGTGCGTAATGAACCTGTTGGTTCAAGGTTATCACATGGGTCGCTGTTTGCGCTCCAAAAAATAACCATGCATCTTGAGGAATAAACCTCCAAAAATGGAAGAGATTTCATGCAAAAAATGCCTGCAGAAATCCTCAACGATCCCCCGCTAAATGAATACCTGTGGCTCGGTGCGTCACGCGTCCATCCTTGAGTCGTTCGCTGAAAGGAAAACGGGCACCGCAATGTCACGCAGCGAGCCGAAACCTGCTGACGTTTCCTCAAGCTGCCCGCTCATGTGTGCGCCGCTGCGGGCGTGCGGCGCCGTGCGTGAGAACGGGGAACAACACAGCTGTGCAACAAGTTCATAGAGAGAGAGAGGGAAAGAGAGAGAGGGAAGAAAGCGAGCTGGATGATGGAAAGAAGTTTCTGGGCTGCAACTAAAACCGGTGACGTGTTGTCCGAAAATAACTGGATTTCTCTCAGGGCTGCAGGAAAACTTTCTTTTCCCATGGATTGACCCCGAGGAGGGGAGGAGGGAGGGAGTCATTCAGAAAATAAATGAAGAAATGAACAGAAGCAGGAACAGAGACACAAACTGCATCAAGTTCATTTTAATACAGATACTGCGACTGCAAAAGTTTTTACACCCCTTAAACTTTTCCACATGTTGTCAGACTTGAATGCATCATGTTAGAGTTTAATCTGAACTGTGTGGTGTACTTAGTTTTAGTGTAGTTTATGTTACTGGATATATAAATATAAATATGTATAAATATAAATCTGTAGTATCTTTAAGTGTTTTCCAGTTTTTATTCAGAATCACACTGTAAATAGTTTCCTTCTTTCCTCCCCTTCTTATCTATCTATCTATCTATCTATCTATCTATCTATCTATCTATCTATCTATCTAGCTATCTATCTATCTATCTATCTATCTATCTATCTATACTCTTTCTTGTTGCCTTTCTGCTTCTTTTCTTCTCTTTCCTTCCTTCCTTCCTTCCTTCCTTCCTTCCTTCCTTCCTTCCTTCCTGTCACATAAAATAAAACATTTTCGTGTTGCGGTGCCTTCTACTGTTTAATAGCATTATTACTATTACTATTTTAATGCTCTTTTTACCAGTCTGGTCAAATCACCAGGTTCGATATTCACTACATTTTATTTTGGAATTGGTTTTAAAGTTCCTTTTCTTGAGTTTAGAGCTTTAAATGCTGCCTTGCAAAAATCTGAAGGTATCGCGTATCTACAATTAAGGACTTAAATGTCACTAAGAAGTAAGTTCACCTTAAATACTTGCATTTTGTCTTGACAGGACTATTTGATCTTGTGTATTTTATGTATTTTTTTTTAGTTTGAGTTGCGCTCATCTTCATTGCGTTTTGTGACTCGAGACAATTGAAGCTACTCTGCTAGCATACCCTTGTTAATTAGTGAACTACCTAACTCAGCTTCTATCATGTATAAATTAAAAAGTATTTTTATACTTTTATGGAGATGTAAGTCTCTAATTCCATTCAGAATGATCCTTAGACTCTTAAAAAGTCTTAAATTTGAATTGGTGAAACCTGCAGAAACTTCACTGAAACCAAAACCAATCAGAAGTCTGTTAAACCAGACGGAAAACCAAAACTGAGAGTTATTGTTGGTTGCACCGGCTGCTTATTAGCTCCTTAATACCTTTTGAAAACTTCAAGGGAATTTGGTGCAACAACCTGTCTTCCTGTTTCCAAATCCACTTTAAAATCTTTCTTACTCATCCTCTCTCCGTGTGTCTCTCTCATTACTGCGACCCAAATCGTTTGACTCATGGCGAAATCCCAGCCCCAGCTGGCTGCAGCCACTGCAGCAACACACCAGCTCATTCCCAGCATCCTGTGAGCTCATCGCCGGCAACATCAACACACACTCACACACACCAGCTGGCTGTTTGAAACATTTCCCTCTACATGTTGGTGAAACATCACTCCGGTCCATCTTTCCTGATGGACTGCAGCTCAGAAAATGTTTTAGGTTGCTGGGAAACGATAAACATCTGGATTAAACCTTAAAGGGGCAACTCTTAACAGCATGTCAAGTTTATTTGTGTTGCACATTTTTGCAATTCAAAGTGCTATACATCATAAAAACATAAAAATAAAGAGTCATAAAAACTTCATACAGTCACAAATCTGAGAAACATTCATCAAAATCATCAATACACATCAAATATGTTGATCAGTGTTCCATCTATTATGGTTCAAAAGCAGCTCTAAACAGGTGGGTGCTCAGTGTTTCAGCTGTTTTGCAGTTTTCTGGAAGTTTGTTCCAGATTTGTGGTGCATAGAAACTGAATGCTGCTTCTCCATGCAGCTTCTTCCAGACCTGAGGAGTCTGGAAGGCTGATAATGTAGTTTGCTGCTAAGCTGTTCAGTGATTTATAGATTAATAACAGTATTTTACAGTCTAGTGGAAGGATTCTAAGACTGGGCCGATGTTCTCTGTCTTCCTGGTTTTAATCAGAACTCCAGCAGCAGAACTTTGGATCTGATAGATCTTTTTAGGCAGACGTGTCACAGTAATCAATGCGACGAACTATAAATGCATGGATGAGTTTCTCTAGATCTTGGTGCAACATTAGTCCTTTAACCCTGGAAATGTTCTTCAGGTGACAGAAGGCTGAGTTTGTAACTGTCTTTATGCATCTGTGAAGGTTCAAACCCAGATTTTGGGCCCAATCTCTAGTTTCTAGCTGTAATAACTGAAGCTGAGCCATGACTCTTGATTATTCCTCCTTCTGTCCAAAGATAAGGCCTGAATTAATTTTATTTTTGTTATTTATCATAGTTTTGGCCTCTTTAAACTTCATGGGACATCCCAACACAGTCACCTTGTCTTCAGGTTGTTCCTGGACTGTTTCACCCACCTCTGGGATTAAAATATGAAATCTGCCCCTTTTAATGCCCAAACAGAGCAAATAGGACTTTCCCAGCCTGAAAAAGTTATCCTTGTCACCATAATGGATGATAGAGAGCCAGAGGTTTGAACTGTGCTGTTCTGGGTCACTTAGAGGAGTTGGGTTTGAAAAATGGTCAGGAGCTTGTTGTGTTTATTCTGCAGAACTCCATCTTATGTAGGATGAAGGCTCAACTGTGCCACAGCCACATTTTATCAATATTTAGGCAGAATTTGAAGGTTCATTCATGATTCATCAGTGTAAGATAAGTGCTGCTTTCTTGGTGTTTTATAAAAAGCTGCTTTAATTCAGATTTACTTTAGAAAACGTCGTCAACAGATATGTTGAACAATAATTCAGGAGTGTGAGGAGCAGATGCTTACTGGTCCCATTCCTGCTATGAAGACGCTTCATACATAAGACTGAATTAGCGTGAAATAGAATTAGGACATGAATGACTTGAACACTGGACGTAAAGTGGGACACCTCCCCACTGGTGAAATCCCACACTCCAATGTAAATGAGCCGCCGCAGCAGCTGAGCGGTTTCCCTCGTTTTCATTTCATTTAAACGGGTGACAGACACTGATCTGGGATCAGCTGCTTTATAACCAAATCAGGTAAAATTAGAGAAGAAGATTTACTTTGAGCAGCTGCTTTAAAATCTGTTAATCTGAAATAATAACTTTTTCTTAATTTGACGAAGTTCTACAGACTTTTAGGCTTTGTGGTTTGAATGAATCTTCCCCAGAAAAACAAAACTTGTGGTAAAGTCAGACGTTTTTGTTGTTTTTTAGGGTTTGCAACAAACAAATAAAATGTGAAATCAATGCACAAATAAGTCTTATTCTAACATTTTATAGGATATCAGAGTTCTACATTAATCTCCCCATCATTTTATTCTGCTTAGTTCCCTTGTTTTTATCCCATTTAAAATATTTAGTCTTAGTTAATTTTCCTCCATGTTAGGTAAAATGCAGTGACCTTACAGGACCATATACACATTTTATAGAGCATGGGGTACTTTTATAAAACTTTTTGTAGAATATTCTTGGTAATATTTGTCATATTTTCTGTTGTTGCAATTATAAAAACATGCATCTGCATTAAATAAATATATGTTTCCACCCCAATGCTTATGAGAATGCTATAAGTATAAAAAGATATTCAGATACAAAACATTTGCATGTAATCTGCAACAACGGATATGTTTTTCTAAATAAAGCAGACATTTATGTTATCAATCTGGCTTTATGGTAGTTAAAAAGCTGGAGAGGCTGAATACACGACCCTGTGGAACAACAGCACTAATAATTATAGTTAAAAAAATAGTTTATTTTTTTATTTACAAACTGAACTTTGTTAGAAACAATAATCACAGTAGGGAATCACAACGTTTTCCAAGTTATCTGCTTGTAACGTAAAAAAAATTAGAAGTAAAAAAAAAATACTTAACCAAGATGCACAGAGACCCTGGATAACAATCTGATAAGTTCCAGTTTATGTCACACTGATACACAATACATGATCCCTGGTATCTACAACACAAATAGATTTACTATCATAGAAACCAAACATGGATATAAGTGTTATTGAAATATTATATATTTTTTCGAAATAATGTGTACTGAGGTCAGTCTGCTGTCCGGTGAAGTTTAACGTTTCTCTGTTCAGTGTCAGTAATTCAGGCCTTCAGGAGGATTTCCTGTTATCACAGCTGTGTTTAGAAAAGCTTCATCTCTTCTGGTATTAAGGTCCAATTGAAGCCACTGACTGCTGGGTCAGTTGGTCTCTCTAAAGTTGCCCTTAGGTGTGAGTTTGTGCGTATGTGATGAACTGGCGACCTTTTCAGGAAGTACCCCGCCTCTCGCCCAATGACTGCTGGAGAAAGTCACCAGCCCTCCGTGTTCCTGCAGAGGATAAGACAATGGATGGATGGGTATCTCAATCGCAGTTCCAGATATTTTCAGGTTAGCTTAATAGCAGCAACAAACATTATGAAACAGGAAGCTGTTAGGATTGTGTGTTGTTTTGAGGTTTGTTTGTTCTGTATTCCTTAGTTTCTCTTTATTATATTACTTTATTCCCAGTTTTAATTTAGTTCAGTCCTTCCTTCGTGATTCTAGTTTATTATGTTAAGTTATTCTTTAGTGCTTCTCTTTCTCTCTCCTCACACCTGCAACCCGTTTCTAATCAGCTTTCTGCTCCTTGTTTAGTAATCCAGTGGTTTTCAACCACTGTTCCGCGGCACACTAGTGTGCCGTGAGTGATCGTCAGGTGTGCCGTGGAAATTATTCAATTTCACCTATGGTACCGTATTTTCCGGACATTAAGCTGCTACTTTTTTCCTAAACTTTGAATCATGCGGATTTTAGCCCGGTGCGTCTTTTCTGTGTATTTTTCTTCAACCACCAGGGGGCTCTCTAACAGGAAGTGAATAATTAGAAGTCAAAATTGTAAATCAAAGAAGAACGCGTTGATTTTCATTTAGAACAACCACATGCTAGCAGCAGGCAGGACGGAGAAATGTTTTCAAACTCATATGATGCAGCTTTTAAGTTGAGGGCTGTCGATTTGCTACTACAGGAGGGAAATAAAGCCGCTGCACTTAAGCTCGGCGTGAACGAAACCATGGTTAGTAGTGGCTAGCGGCGTAATCATGTAATTTTCTTACCACTAGATGGTACAGAGCATTTTACATTAAAACAAGAGAATTAGTGAGCCATGAATGTTACAGGTAGCGGTGAGAGCATCGTATCTAGCAAGACTGTGATGACAGTGAAGCTCAGCAGTAGTTGGAAAGAACATGGGTCCATTTCCCAAACATGTCTGTGTGAAGTGAGCTTCTCAAGCCTGGTTACTATAAAAACTAAAAACAGAGACTGAGAGCTGTTGA